TAATTCTTATAGGATTTTTAAGCGGAGTACCTTAAATATTTCTAGATCGATTCGCCACCATTCTGCATCAAAATCCTGAGACAAAATATTTTTTCGATTTTTTGTCCATTTTTCTTGATGGATCCCCTTGAAAATGTGTTTTTCCCCTATAGGGTCCACGGTGATAGCTATATCTTCCCAAATTCTTATCCGATTCTCAAGCGGAGTACCTTAAACGATTTCTAGATCGATTCGCCACCAATCTGCATCAAAATCCTGAGACAAATATTTTTTTGATTTTTTGTCCATTTTTCTTGATGGATCCCCTTGAAAATGTGTTTTTCCCCTATAGGGTCCACGGTGATAGCTATATCTTCCCCAATTCTTATCCGATTCTCAAGCGGAGTACCTTAAACGATTTCTAGATCGATTCTCCCCCATTCTGCATCAAAATCCTGAGACAAAATATTTTTTCGATTTTTTGTCCAGTTTTCTTGATGGATCCCCTTGAAAATGTGTTTTTCCCCTATAGGGTCCACGGTGATAGCTATATCTTCCCCAATTCTTATCCGATTCTCAAGCGGAGTACCTTAAACGATTTCTAGATCGATTCTCCCCCATTCTGCATCAAAATCCTGAGACAAAATATTTTTTCGATTTTTTGTCCAGTTTTCTTGATGGATCCCCTTGAAAATGTGTTTTTCCCCTATAGGGTCCACGGTGATGGCTATATCTTCCCCAATTCTTATATGATTCTCAAGCGAAGTACCTTAAACGATTTCTAGATCGATTCTCCACCATTCTGCATCAAAATCCTGAGACAAAATATTTTTTCGATTTTTTGTCCATTTTTCTTGATGGATCCCCTTGAAAATGTGTTTTTCCCCTATAGGGTCCACGGTGATAGCTATATCTTCCCCAATTCTTATCCGATTCTCAAGCGGAGTACCTTAAACGATTTCTAAATCGATTCGCCACCATTCTGCATCAAAATCCTGAGACAAAATATTTTTTCGATTTTTTGTCCATTTTTCTTGATGGATCCCCTTGAAAATGTGTTTTTCCCCTATAGGGTCCACGGTGATAGCTATATCTTCCCCAATTCTTATCCGATTCTCAAGCGGAGTACCTTAAACGATTTCTAAATCGATTCTCCACCATTCTGCATCAAAATCCTGAGACAAAATATTTTTTCGATTTTTTGTCCATTTTTCTTGATGGATCCCCTTGAAAATGTGTTTTTCCCCTATAGGGTCCACGGTGATAGCTATATCTTCCCAAATTCTTATCCGATTCTCAAGCGGAGTACCTTAAACGATTTCTAGATCGATTCGCCACCATTCTGCATCAAAATCCTAAGACAAAATATTTTTTCGATTTTTTGTCCATTTTTCTTGATGGATCCCCTTGAAAATGTGTTTTTCCCCTATAGGGTCCACGGTGATAGCTATATCTTCCCCAATTCTTATCCGATTCTCAAGCGGAGTACCTTAAACGATTCTTTCTAGATCGATTTTCCACCATTCTGCATCAAAATCCTGAGAAAAAATATTTTTTCGATTTTTTGTCCATTTTTCTTGATGGATCCCCTTGAAAATGTGTTTTTCCCCTATAGGGTCCACGGTGATGGCTATATCTTCCCCAATTCTTATATGATTCTCAAGCGGAGTACCTTAAACGATTTCTAGATCGATTCTCCACCATTCTGCATCAAAATCCTGAGACAAAATATTTTTTCGATTTTTTGTCCATTTTTCTTGATGGAAACCTTTGAAATGGGCTTTTTTCCTATAGGGCCCACGGTGATGGCTGTATCTTCCCTAATTCTTATAGGATTTTTAAGCGGAGTACCTTAAATATTTCTAGATCGATTCGCCACCATTCTGCATCAAAATCCTGAGACAAAATATTTTTTCGATTTTTTGTCCATTTTTCTTGATGGATCCCCTTGAAAATGTGTTTTTCCCCTATAGGGTCCACGGTGATAGCTATATCTTCCCCAATTCTTATCCTATTCTCAAGCGGAGTACCTTAAACGATTCTTTCTAGATCGATTTTCCACCATTCTGCATCAAAATCCTGAGAAAAATATTTTTTTCGATTTTTTGTCCATTTTTCTTGATGGATCCCCTTGAAAATGTGTTTTTCCCCTATAGGGTCCACGGTGATGGCTATATCTTCCCCAATTCTTATATGATTCTCAAGCGGAGTACCTTAAACGATTTCTAGATCGATTCTCCACCATTCTGCATCAAAATCCTGATGCAGATTATCTATATATATCTTCCCCAATTCTTATCCTATTCTTCCCCAATTCTTATCCTATTCTCAAGCGGAGTACCTTAAACGATTCTTTCTAGATCGATTTTCCACCATTCTGCATCAAAATCCTGAGAAAAAATATTTTTTCGATTTTTTGTCCATTTTTCTTGATGGATCCCCTTGAAAATGTGTTTTTCCCCTATAGGGTCCACGGTGATGGCTATATCTTCCCCAATTCTTATATGATTCTCAAGCGGAGTACCTTAAACGATTTCTAGATCGATTCTCCACCATTCTGCATCAAAATCCTGAGACAAAATATTTTTTAGATTTTTTGTCCATTTTTCTTGATGGATCCCCTTGAAAATGTGTTTTTCCCCTATAGGGTCCACAATGATAGCTATATCTTCCCCAATTCTTATCCGATTCTCAAGCGGAGTACCTTAAACGATTCTTTCTAGATCGATTTTCCACCATTCTGCATCAAAATCCTGAGAAAAAATATTTTTTCGATTTTTTGTCCATTTTTCTTGATGGATCCCCTTGAAAATGTGTTTTTCCCCTATAGGGTCCACGGTGATGGCTATATCTTCCCCAATTCTTATATGATTCTCAAGCGGAGTACCTTAAACGATTTCTAGATCGATTCTCCACCATTCTGCATCAAAATCCTGAGACAAAATATTTTTTAGATTTTTTGTCCATTTTTCTTGATGGATCCCCTTGAAAATGTGTTTTTCCCCTATAGGGTCCACGGTGATAGCTATATCTTCCCCAATTCTTATCCGATTCTCAAGCGGAGTACCTTAAACGATTCTTTCTAGATCGATTTTCCACCATTCTGCATCAAAATCCTGAGAAAAAATATTTTTTCGATTTTTTGTCCATTTTTCTTGATGGATCCCCTTGAAAATGTGTTTTTCCCCTATAGGGTCCACGGTGATGGCTATATGTTCCCCAATTCTTATATGATTCGCAAGCGGAGTACCTTAAACGATTTCTAGATCGATTCTCCACCATTCTGCATCAAAATCCTGAGACAAAATATTTTTTCGATTTTTTGTCCATTTTTCTTGATGGAAACCTTTGAAATGGGCTTTTTTCCTATAGGGCCCACGGTGATGGCTGTATCTTCCCCAATTCTTATCGGATTTTCAAGCGGAGTACCTTAAACGATTTCTAGATCGATTCGCCACCATTCTGCATCAAAATCCTGAGACAAAATATTTTTTCGATTTTTTGTCCATTTTTCTTGATGGATCCCCTTGAAAATGTGTTTTTCCCCCATAGGGTCCACGGTGATAGCTATATCTTCCCCAATTCTTATCCGATTCTCAAGCGGAGTACCTTAAACGATTCTTTCTAGATCGATTTTCCACCATTCTGCATCAAAATCCTGAGAAAAAATATTTTTTTGTCGATTTTTTGTCCATTTTTCTTGATGGATCCCCTTGAAAATGTGTTTTTCCCCTATAGGGTCCACGGTGATGGCTATATCTTCCCCAATTCTTATATGATTCTCAAGCGGAGTACCTTAAACGATTTCTAGATCGATGCTTCATTCTTCTGCATCAAAATCATGAGATAAAATATTTTTCCGATTTTTTGTCCATTTTTCTTGATGGAACCCCTTGAAAATGTGTTTTTCCCCTATAGGGTCCACGGTGATAGCTATATCTTCCCCAATTCTTATCCGATTCTCAAGCGGAGTACCTTAAACGATTCTTTCTAGATCGATTTTCCACCATTCTGCATCAAAATCCTGAGAAAAAATATTTTTTCGATTTTTTGTCCATTTTTCTTGATGGATCCCCTTGAAAATGTGTTTTTCCCCTATAGGGTCCACGGTGATGGCTATATGTTCCCCAATTCTTATATGATTCGCAAGCGGAGTACCTTAAACGATTTCTAGATCGATTCTCCACCATTCTGCATCAAAATCCTGAGACAAAATATTTTTTCGATTTTTTGTCCATTTTTCTTGATGGAAACCTTTGAAATGGGCTTTTTTCCTATAGGGCCCACGGTGATGGCTGTATCTTCCCCAATTCTTATCGGATTTTCAAGCGGAGTACCTTAAACGATTTCTAGATCGATTCGCCACCATTCTGCATCAAAATCCTGAGACAAAATATTTTTTCAATTTTTTGTCCATTTTTCTTGATGGATCCCCTTGAAAATGTGTTTTTCCCCCATATTGTCCACGGTGATAGCTATATCTTCCCCAATTCTTATCCGATTCTCAAGCGGAGTACCTTAAACGATTCTTTCTAGATCGATTTTCCACCATTCTGCATCAAAATCCTGAGAAAAAATATTTTTTTCGATTTTTTGTCCATTTTTCTTGATGGATCCCCTTGAAAATGTGTTTTTCCCCTATAGGGTCCACGGTGATGGCTATATCTTCCCCAATTCTTATATGATTCTCAAGCGGAGTACCTTAAACGATTTCTAGATCGATGCTTCATTCTTCTGCATCAAAATCATGAGATAAAATATTTTTCCGATTTTTTGTCCATTTTTCTTGATGGAACCCCTTGAAAATGTGTTTTTCCCTACACATTTCAAGTCCACGGTGGTGGCTTCTCCTATTCATATCCGATTCTCAAGCGGAGGACCTAAAATGATTTCTAGATCGATTCTCCACCGTTCTGCATGAAAATCCTGAGACAAAATATTTTTTGAAATTTATGGAATTCATGTGGTAACCAAAAGCTGTTTCAATTATACTCAGTCCTTAACTACCAAACAACGTCCGATTTACGATTGCATAATATATAGTTTTATCTGAAGTTTAAACTAATTACATTTAGGTCTAAAATTTTCCGGACATACTAAATCAGGTTCGTCTTTAATGAACATTCCGGGCATCGGCTTAGTTGGACATTTATGCTCAACTTCAGATTCGCTAGATTCGGGAAAATTGAAAATTCCATCTGCCGGGTTCCAAGCCCCTCCTCTCAGTTGTTCGTTGACCCATTGGAGTTGCTTATTGATCTGAAATAACCACAATATTAGAAGTACTTATGATATTTATTAAAGAGGTTACCAAATCATATTACCAAATCAACCAATTTTTTCTCGTTTTCGCACTGAAATAGCTCTGCCGCAAAGAAATATATATTTTCAGGTTTCTCCTTAACGGCCTCGCTCACTATAACTCGAATAATGGCTCTAATCTCTGGATGCCGCTGAAGGTACGCCCAATCATCCTTTCGCATGTTCCTAGAAATGTCGTTAATGGTTGCATAGAATTTTGACACATTTTCCTGCATCTTTTCTGCACGGCTATGGAAGTTATCCGCATTATCTGTGTCTGCGCTGGATGTTTTGAACTCCATAGTAGAAGGGGCCGAAAGTGTAGATTTGTATTTCCAAAAATAGCCAAATACTTGTTGTGCAAGTATTTATAGAATTGAAAACAATTGAACTAAAAATATATGAGATATTGATATAAAAAAAAAAAATTAAAAAGGAAGCCAGACTCCGTGACAATGTTGGTTTCAACATTGCCGTGACCAGGATTCGAACCTGGGTTACCACGGCCACAACGTGGGGTCCTAACCACTAGACGATCACGGCTGTGTCTGGCTGTTGAAAGTGACCGTCTCCGAGCCTAGGTGCTCCCCTAACGGTCAACATTAATTAAAAAAGCTAAGAAGTTGTTTGTGCATTCAACATTCACTTTATTTTCGTTTAAACGTTAAACCATTTAAATCTATTTATCGCACGAAAGCTTAGACATAGGAATTAAATTGATCAATATTAAATACAAATGGAAAAGGTGCGATTATATTTCATAGAAGTGTAGAATATAGAATATAATCCAAATGTATGTAATGTGTAATGTATATTCCTAATAGTAGTTTAGAAACTGTACAACTTGTACTTCATTAATAATGTTTTGATATAACGTAATAGAATACAAGCCAAATAATTTTAAATAAAGTTATGAATTTATAAACATTCTAATTAGAAGAATAAAAGAAAAATTGTAAGCCTAAAAACCAACAAACAAACATATAAATTAAGTTTATGAGTTTTTAAGGAACTGTTGTTCCTTTTTTATTCTCCTTAATAATAATGCATTTAATAAGAAAAACACTTCTATTACATATACAAAATAAAATGAATAAATAAAAAAAGAAAAAAAGAAAAAAAACCCAGACTCCGTGACAATGTTTGTTTCAACATTGCCGTGACCAGGATTCGAACCTGGGTTACCACGGCCACAACGTGGGGTCCTAACCACTAGACGATCACGGCTACGTCGGGTTGCTATTTACAGTTGGCCAAATGTCACTTTTAAAAAGCGTGCGGAGCAAACCACAGCCCACAATACGAATTTGACATTGTAAAAAATGTAAATACAAAACTTACTAAATTCTTGCTTTTTCTTGTTTAATTTATTTAAACTTACCAAATATTTACTACATTTCATTTTTATCTATGTCTTACATAACTTAAATTACTATTGGGGCTGTCGAGCTCGAACAATACCTTTCATGTTGGTCTTTGAAGCGGCAGAGGTTGCTGCTGCTGTAGGACATGGACTGACCTTAGCTCTGTCCTGGCGCTGCTTGAGGCGTTCTTTCAACTGGAATCGGAGTGTATTCATACTTGTATTAAGAGCAAAATTCATGTCAGGTAGTTGATATGTAGCCAATAGAAAGTTGCAGCGCACCCGCTCATTGGCAATAGTTTTGATTAGATCCTGCATTTCGGCGCTGTTTACAAAATTGGCGAAGAACTGATTTGTTTTTCCTTTTGACGATGCAGCAGAATCCTTTTCAAGCACCAGCTGCTTGGTTGGCGGCGGTGCGCCTTCTGTCTCGAACTGACAGTCGGTGGGACTCATCCGCAATGTCTGATGCTGGCTCTTCCTGGCTCGGTGGCGTCCGGACCGGTTATCTACTGCTGTGCTGGAGGAGCTGGCCGTTTTGTCAGAGGAAGCTGGCGAAAACGAAGAGTCCGGGCCCATAAGATTGATTGTACTTCCTGATTGTACTTGATCGTTATTAAGTAGAGTTTTTCTGGATTTAGGGGTGATTTCTGCCTTAGCGGTCGACAGTGGTGTTACACAACGACTTGGATCCATGTCCTCGGCTTCATCAGAATCGCTTGGCAAATCCTCGTCGTCAGAAAGTATTTCAATCGAATTATATTCATCCATTGTTGTCATATGGTAAGCGCCCCTCTCCCTTCCAGAAATACTGACAATTCCTTCGTTTTTATTTTTCGAAATACTGGTCACACCAATGTTAAATAGTGGCGCCACCTGTGGGTCATAAAATTATAAAAGGTTTTAAGGTGTATAATTAATATATTGATTTTAAAATGCATTAGCTGCTTATAAAATATGAAAATATAATTATGATACTAATTTTTCAACAATATTTTCCATACGCGTTTGAGCTGTAGCATAAGTTTGGATTCTCGCCAGTCTAAATCAACAACCCGACGTAGCCGTGATCGTCTAGTGGTTAGGACCCCACGTTGTGGCCGTGGTAACCCAGGTTCGAATCCTGGTCACGGCAATGTTGAAACAAACATTGTCACGGAGTTGGGTTTCTTTTTGTTATAAAATTATTTTATTTGTTTGATTTAATATTTTGTTTGTTTATATTTACATAAATATAAAATGCACAGAAAGAATAATCATTTGAATTATTATTTTTATGGACATATTTAGAATTTCTATTATCCAACCCTGGCTTGTTTTGTTCTTATATTTTATTTATTAGTTAAAATTTGTAATAAATTTTAAATGTAAATTTTAATATAAAATTTGTAATAAATATAATAAAATAAATAAATATAAATATTGGCAAAACATTTACAAAGAGTTTAAGTACATTACTCAAATATTACAAATTTAGTCATATATGCGTAAAATTAAACAAATTTACACAAAAAAATTTTAAAATCTAGCTATATATGTATGCAATATTTCATAAAATATTGTTTTTGTTGTATACAAGTTCAAGAAGAAATTAAACCAATTTAGTTTCTTGTTCTTTCTTTCTTGTAAACAAAGCATATTAATATATTACTAATGTACATACATATAAAATTATGTACTTTAAAAGCAAGTTTAGGAAATTTAAAGAATATTAGGTTACGAACAAAGTGAAAGGAAAAAAACAGCCAGTGAAAGGCAATTACCAATTATTGAAACCAGTTATTGTTGTTAATGCATATACATTCATACACCAGAATATTTTATATAAATAATGTAGCTATCTCAAAAAAACATAAAAACAGTATTGTAGCTCAATAAATACAATAGATAAAATAATCTAACAATATTTTTAAAATTTAAATATCTAAATGCCTTTATAAAAAAATTGATTATCCACTTGAAGTGCCAAGATTACTTTGTGGAAGTTTTCACTATATTTTTGATTTTCTTTTAAATGCGTCATTTGGCCAGCCCAAGTCAACAACCCAACGTAGCCGTGATCGTCTAGTGGTTAGGACCCCACGTTGTGGCCGTGGTAACCCAGGTTCGAATCCTGGTCACGGCAATGTTGAAACAAACATTGTCACGGAGTTGGGTTTCTTTTTTTTTATACATTATTTTATTTAGTTAATTTTAATATTTTTTTTTGTTTATATGTACACATACGACAAAGACTTTAAAAATGAGACAATGAATATTTATTCTAAATATTATTTTTACGCACATATGTATTTAATATTTCTGTTATCTTAACCTGGCTTATTTAAAAAAAATTTCACTAAAAACTAATTATAATCTGCCTAGGTTTCTGATAAGGCTGGAATTCTTAAAAGATCAATTGTTATCAAAGTTCTTTCTTATCAAAAAAAACTAAAAACAAATATTTTAAATAATTTACAGAGTATAATACTGTTGGTAAAGAAGACCGTTAGGTGACGACCTGGGTTCAGAGAAGGCGTCCCTCAACAGCCGGACGTAGCCGTGATCGTCTAGTGGTTAGGACCCCACGTTGTGGCCGTGGTAACCCAGGTTCGAATCCTGGTCACGGCAATGTTGGAACAAACATTGTCACGGAGTCCGGTTCTTTTTTTTATTCTTTTAATTTTCTTATTTTTTGCATATTTTGACAGTCAAGTTTAATCTCTGATCTCGCGCCAAGAATTCTGAAATAAAACACAAATTATTTATTACATATGTGCATAATTTGTTTGATATATTTATAACTTTGATTATTTACAGTTGCCTCTTTTTATAACATACAGAAGATATACTTATATATTTATTATAAATTAAACTATTTTCGTTACTAAAGCTTATAGGGGGTTCTCAAAATTGCATACAGATTTTTTAATATAGTTCATAGCATAAAAGACTCGGCCGGGAATGTACTTCCACATTTCTTAATAGTTGAGGGAGAAGGCATAAATAACAATAAACAAATTGACACCATTTTATATTATTAACTAAGAATATAACCCATGGACTACAAAACAAGACATAAAATAATCCGGTCAGGTGACTTGAAATTTTCTTGCTCCTTTAGTCCTTCTCAATGCGTCACTGCTGGCCATAGAGAAGCTCCGATCCCGGCGGGATGTTGCTGGGATCTACGCTTACGTTAAAGTAGTTGGCTGGGGTCTGGGACTGTTGCTGCTGGGGATTCTGCTGAAGGTTCTGTTGCAGCGTAAGGTTATACGGATTCTGAACGTATTCTTGGTATATATCGGCTGTTGGCGCTGCCCCACTGACCACCGCCGGGGTCTCGTAAACTGGTGCAAAGCTGTGCACAATGGATGGCTGGGGCATTTTTGACAGCGATGGGTAAGCATTTCCAGCCAGAAGATGGCTGATTGGCACATTATTGGCAGGATCGCTAGAGGGAGCTGACAACTGTTGCTGTTGTTGCAATTGTTGTTGCTGCTGCTGTTGCAACTGAAGCTGCTGAGCTTGATACTGCTGATAGTACTGCTGGTAGAGCGATTGCTGTTGCTGCTGTTGGTCCAACTGCTCGGCAGTGACTTCCGGTGTCGCAGGCAACTCTATGGCGTAACTGTTGTACGTATTGTTGGTAGTTACAATATTCGTTTGCTGGACAATAGCAACTGGCTGCTCTTCTGGGTGTGGGCTAAGAACAGGAGAAGAAGGGCCGGCCTGCACAGTAGCAGCTGAAGCCTCATTTACCAAATCAGGCAGCAGTGCACTTGACTGCGTCTCCGTGGTCGCCGGTGGTTGTGGCGGCACAATCATAGGCTGGAGATATATAAATATTTATAGTAACTGTATTTCATTTGATTATTTTCGTCCTACCTGAGCAAATATGAAACTGGGTGCTTGCTGCAATGCCTCCGCCATGGGAGGTTGCAAGATAATACTCCGCCTTGGTGATTCCACCGGCGACACCGAAGAGGGTGTGGCCCTTCCTGAGGTATCTGCACTCACTACCAACTCGTTAGCTAAAACCGGCGTCTGCTGTTGCACCGGGCTGGGCAAGATGGCCACTGAGGGAACTTCCTGCTGTGGGTTGAAAGCAACAGCAGCAATGGCCGCTGGGTTTGTTAGGGTCTGAGCTCGTTTTCCTGCAAGATGGAGCATGTGATTATGGGTTGGGTAACTATTTAATTTTTACAAAAATATATATAAATAAAAGAATGCAATTGTGAATGGGAGGTGCAAAGGATTGATCAATTCTTGCTGCCGAAATGCTTGAGCACCTTAAGCTTGGACCTAAGCTTGGCCCAGGGTTTCTTGCGCTGCTTGGCAGGCTCTCTAAGAACGCATTCACTTTTCGTCGTGCCCGTAGGGGAAAGCTTGAGTCCATGATTAATGAGCGGCAATGACTGCGTCTGCTTGGAATATCTAATCTGGGTGAACTCCAGCGAGATCGCTGGGGAAATGAAATCTGGTGACAGGGTCAGTGGTTAAGCGGATTTTTCAACTGCCGCTAAACGAACCTTCATCACGGAAAAGTTCCTCCTTTAGGTTGGGCAGAAATTCTCCAATACGCCGCCAGGTAAGCTCCCACAGGGCCTGGTGTAGACTTCCGTCTTGATTGTGAAACACCCGCACCGAGTGCATCACCAGTAACATGTTTTTCAAGATTTCCTGCATCTGTTCCGACAGCGTATCAGATCCGACTTTCATAAAGCGCTCAATGTAGTCCAGAATGTCCAACCACAGTTCGTTGAAGGTGTTTCCGAGTTCGATGAGCGTGGTAAGGTGTTGCAGAAACACTTTCGACATGATGGTCGCGGTGCGTATCCGTGACTCTTCGAGTAATGCAGAATCAAGTTGGATGGAGGCGCTGCTTTCTGGCAACAGTTCGTTTAGCAGTGGGAACAGCACCTGATGAAAGCAGGAACACCATTCCGTGCCAGATAGCGTCTGCAAATCATGAACCAGCAACGCCCGTTGCTGCAGACAGGAGATGGCATGTGTTCGCACCTCCCGCCGCCTATCCATGGCTAATCTTGCAATGCCTTGGAGCAGGGGACACCAGCCTGGTGCCCACAAAGCTGCTGACTGGGGCACAGTGCAGCCCTCCTCCGCCCACCAACGGAATATCTGAGCAGTTCGCGTGTACAGTGTGTACATCAAATCTAGTAACTGTATGGACAGCTGCTCATAGCGCTGAGCTAGCTCCTCTTGTTCCGCCGCATTTACATTTCCTAAGTTGTCAGCCAGATCGCCAGATAGCAGGGTAAGATTACTGCTAGATGAAGAGGGGGCCATGCCGAGCTTACGATCGATGCGCTTCTTCGAAGTTCTCTGCTTTCCAGCCGCTTCAAGTTTTCGGCGTTGACGGATTCCTCCGTCACGACAAGCCTCTACAAAAATGCGAATGCAACGCACGCATGCCTCGAAGTTGTAGGGCGTGATATGGGCCACACTCCGGACGATGAAAGCCAGAGAATCCCAGCACTTGAAAAGAGCAAATGGGGCGTGATCCAAAAGCTGGCAATTGTAGACAAGCGTGCTGATTGGAGGACCGCTAGAGCTGGGTGGCGATTGTGGTCTAAGCAAAAAAAAAACCAGGTCTATAGTATACCGGATTATACTGAATAAAAGTGTAATCTTACCTGGATGCCGTAGTAAGTTCGCTATCCTTGTTGCTCACCAAAATCCAGTTTTCAGCACTAGGGCTCGAGGCTGCAGGTGTACCGGAAGTCTTTGTTAACTCCGAATCGGATGTATAGCCACGTTCTGGAGCAGGTGATGTGTCTTCCTCGCCACTAAGGGCACCATCTGACTTTGTACAACCGTTGAGCGGCAGAGGCAGCTGTGCATCATCGTAGCTGGGGGGAACAGCTCCCGCCCCAACGCATTCCAGAAGGTTAAATATGATTTGCCAATCCTGCTCTGAGTGAATATTCTGAGCCGACGTCTTAAGCAGTTCGTAAACTCCAATAGATATCTGCTTCGATATGCGAAGTAGTAGAGCAGGCTTCAGCATCAACATCATCTTAAGTGACTGAAGCACAATCGGACACAACTCCTCGTTGCGCATTAAATAGATGGCCAGCTTGAGCACAGCTACAATGCAGCGATTTAGCAAGTAGTCGTAGCCACAGGAAGCACTGCCCATGAGGAGCAGGTACATTTGGTCTCGAACAGCAGGCCACAGGGGAATCATGCGATCTCGATTGTGCACCACAATCTTAACAAGGAATTCCATCCAGAAGACGGTCTGATCTTCAGCATATGGTAATCCAATTGATTTGTGACCCTGAGGCGCCTTAATCAGTCCCAGAACACACTTAATCAGTTCCTGTAAAGACTCCAGCTGCACAAATTTGGACTCCTGCAGCATTTGGTCTAGCTGACATTCCTTGATGCACTTTCGGCCGTGCTTAATGTAGTCCTGCTCCTCATAGTTGGGCTCTCGCTGCCCCTCAGAGCTGATAAACGAGTAAAGGCTGGAGAACAATCCAGATTCCTGCTTCTCACGCGGTTTTTCCAAAATCAACAAAGCCTTTCCATTTGCCTCGCAGAAATCTTCCACTTCAATTAGCGACTTGGGCAGGAGTTTTAAACGGAAAAGCTGCAGAAATAGGTCAAGGATATGTTTCCAACTCTCTCGCAGACAATCGCCATAATCGTGAACCAACAGGAACACAGTTTTAATTGCAGCCTGAGCTTTATCATTTAATCCAAAGTTCACCGCCTGCTGGATTTCATTGTTCGCCGGGGCCACCTCGTTCTGCTCAACGCTGCTCAGCAGCGTGGTGAACTTGCAGAGGGTCAACACCAGAGCATCAAAGTCCGCATGTAAATTATAATGTGCCGAAATGGCCGCGGATTTACTGAAACCTAACACAAAGAAACATTTTAGTAGGAATATCCATAACTATTTTAGTTTTACTTACCCGCCAGTGTCTTCTGGTATCCGGATTCAGTGCTTTTGTCAAACATAAAGCTAAGTGCGCTAAGCGAAGCGCCCCACACAATGTTGAAGATTTCTACGTCGTAGGAAGCATCATGGACGTAGTGGAAGTGCCCATCATGGGTGTCTCCTCGTCGAAGCAGCACCTTCCACAAGTAGTTTTCTCGCACCAGACCAGTTTGCTCTGCCGGCATTACGATCTCTTCGTTCCTAAAAATATTTTTCACTTTAAAAATATATTTCATCACGTATTATATTTCATTATACTTTATGGCGTTGAAGACTTGAGTCAGCATTTCTTGATCAAAATCATTCCCTCCATTCAGGCCGCGCAAATTCTTTGTAAAGTCCTCCAGCGTCATTGGTACATTTAGGCGTTTGGCATTTGAGTTATGCTGGTCCATGTTTAACATGATGATGGCGTACGCCAAACGAAAGGCGGCGTCTACATTGGCAAACGGTTCTTTGTTTTGTAACTAAAAAGTATTAATTAAATATAAACAAAGTGGTTAAATCGATTATTTTTATTATACTTACATGCCAGTGATCGGAGAAATGTTCCAAAACTAAAAATATCAAAGGTGCCTCTCCTGGCAATCGAAAGGTTTCCAAGTAGAGACGCAATGCTTGATCCACTCGAAGGCCAGTGAAATCAAACGAGTCTACAAAGTTAATCAAGATTTTGGAGTCCACGTTTTTCTTTTTCGAGATGTACTCCCCAATCATCTTCTTGTCTAGGCCGGGATTTTCGCGTAAAAACAGGGCTACTTGCATGGGATCCAAATCGGCGTTTAGGATGCCGTGTTCCTGCAGATACTGTATGCCCTTCTCCGGGCGATTATTAAACCGCTCGGTGCCCTGCGACAGCAATCTCTTCTTTTGTTTAACATTGGCCAGCTGCTCGGAGGTTATGCCCAAAGCATCACCTACGGATTGAAGACGCAAGCGTTGCGAGCTGCTATTTATAAAGCTGGCGATATTTTCGACTGGTTCCTCCGTTATTGCGCTGCCTCCGGAATCAATGACTATGCCCTCTAGTCCACTGTTGTGCCGTGAGTGACGACTGCCACCAGATGTTGGGGTACTTTCTTGTGGGAATTCCTTGTTAACTCCGCTACTTTTAGACGCCACACAATTACGCTCAATGCTATCAATAACACTTATCAGCGTATCCATCGAGATGATGTGCGTGCTGTATACGGCATTGGTAGCCGACAGTGTATACTTGCTTAGCAGATTCGTGAGGCTCTCAAACATATCGGTGCAATATAAATCGCAATCATAGTTGATATAAAGCTCAGTGACAAAACCAGGAATACGCCAAAGCTGCAGCAGATTGTCGAGTGCTAATTCACGCATCTCGTACGGAGTCTTCGGATTGTCGCTTGCAATAATTTCGCTGAGCTTCTTGAGGTAGGCCTCCAGCTGGAACTTTAAATGACCTCGCAGGGACTCAAAGAGCAGAAAACAAAGCTGCAAATCGGCCGCAAAGATACTCAGACGCTCTGAGCTTAGAAGCTGTTTAAGGAAAGACTTAATAATAATCGGACTAGGAACTATTCACATCTTACCGAGATTAAATTCCTGCACAAATCGTCTTTTACTAATTCCAGCAAACCCTCGTACTTTCCAATATTGTCAGCAGCAACTTCGAAAGCTACAGTGAGCAGACTCAGACCAGTGTGCATCATACTGTCAGTATTTTGCTTGTCCAGTGGGTTGCACAGGATGGTTAGAAAACGGAAAAGCTCCCGGATAAACGGTAAGCCATAGGGCGAAAGGGAAGCAGTGTCATGCTCGCTAGATTGTTGTGTAAATCGCACACCCACCGAATTTATGTATTCACTGCTGCTAGTCTCGGTAAGCAAACTTGTCGACTCTCCGGGCTCTGCTTCTGTCAACTGTTCCGAATCTGCATGCTCTACTTGAATGGCTGGTGCATCTGTGGTCTCAGATTCCTCTGAGCCTGCTCCAGCACTTGCTGTAGTGGTTGGCGTTTGGGTGATTTTTCCCTGCATGTCGAGAATAGTGCCAGCTGGACTAGCGGGAGTGGTAGCCAATATCGGAGCCTTTAGATGGCCAGGCACAGTTAGGTTACTGACGGGTTGTGGGGTCTGTGGCGGCTCTTCTACTGATGAGGATTTCCTTGGGGGAGCTTGAACAGAGGCTTGCGGCACCTTGCGCTTTTGCCTCTCCTGCGCAGCTCCACTGGCCGCATCTAAGATTGTGAATCTTTTTTGGAGAACTGCGTCGCTACGCTCCTCTGTAAACTGAGGGAGTCTCATAAAGAAAAGCAGGACCATATCTTTAAGCGACTGCTCGGCTGACCGCCGTAACATTTCACTTAGCCTGGTTTCAAAACAGATCTTGAAGCAGCTGAGCATAACATCACACATGGTGTCATTGCTCAGAGCAGCACCTTCGGGACTTCGAATGAGTGTGTGCAGTACCTCAATTACCCGCATAAAGGTTACACTGTCCGAAGACTGATCTGTTCCCATGAAACGGGCATGGGTAACGGCGTCAGCAATGCGCTCCACAATATCGGAAAGGTTCGGAGTGGTGGGATCTAAAAATAAATACACTTTAGAGAGTTGGAAGTGTCTTAAAACAAGTGAACTCACCAATGAGACCATAGGACAAGAACTTATTAACCGAGGCCAAGGCTAGACTAGTCAATGGCCCTGTGGTGTCTGCCGTTCGAATCACTTCTAAAAAGGGAGCCAGGAATACCTGAGCATCAATTAGTCGCAAGTCCTCTACTCTGTTAAGTTCCTGCTTGAGGTCAAGGAACAGCTTCAACAAAGAGTCCTTCTCCTCGTTCTGTAAAGAAAGATAATTAGTTTTTATGCATGGTTCATCGTTAGAAGTTCTAGTTACCACGTATGCGGTCGCATTCCAGCGGGTTCCACGTCGCATGGCCGTCATCAGGGTGGCCATTTCACCCCGCACCACGTAGATTCCATTGCCCGGCAGCGACATTGCGTCTGACTCCGGGTCTGTTCCTACGGCTCTTCAACGGCTTCCACCAAAGAAATTCGCTATGCCAAATTGCTGTGGGGCTGCTCCTCTTCACTTCTTTTTCTCGGCCTTCGCATATGTTTTTCCAGTTGCCACACACCCAAGTTTTCACAGAGTCGCAACCACTGTTCCGCGATGCCTCCAACGAATCTAGGCTCGTTTTTAGTAGCACATGTTTCAATAATCGTAATGAATAAAGAATTTGTTTGCTAATTTTTGGTGACGTTTACGTGTCGTTCCGTTTTTGTGTTCTTGTGTGCCCGATAGAACGCACAAATCGATGACCTCCAGGGATGCCAACTTGATGCAATATATCGATATGGTTTTGAAACATAACTTTTGTTCTATAATAAAAAATATATTTTAACCCTAGCCAAAACAAAACTACTTACGCCAATTTTTTGCGTAATTTAAATTAATTAGTAAGCAATGATAACAATAAAAAAAAGATTAATAAATATATGTTTTTTGTCTTTTTATAGTAGCGTTCCTCGATGGTTTCCTTAATTTTCTTAGTAATTTAAACAACTATCGTTATAAGAATACGATACCAATTAGGAATCATATCTGGCTAACGGGATTTACCATATTCTTATTGGAATGCAACGGTCACACATTAGCGATTGGTTGACAGCTGTAGTGCGTAGGCGAACTTTTGGATTTTCCAATTTTCTAATCTTCCGAAAGAGTATTTATTGCTGAAAAAAATATATTTCAGACTACTACGAATACTAGCATTGAGGAAACCGAGCACGGGCAGGTGGAATTGAGGGACTCAGCAATACCAGAGGAGGTCACAAGGCAAACAATATGGGAAACACGGACTCCAAGTTGAACTTTCGCAAAGCGATTGTGCAGCTGACGCAGAAGAATCAGAAGATCGATCCCAGTGACGAGCAGTTCTGGGAGCAGTTCTGGCAGGGCCACCAAACGACACTGGAGGATGTTTTCGCTTTAGTCACTTCCAATGAGATAAGACAGATTCGAAACGAGAATCCGGCAAACATGGCCACGCTCTGCTACAAAGCGGTGGAGAAGCTCGCCCAGGCGGTGGATAGTAGTTGCCGCACACAGGCAGAACAGCAATGTGTGCTAAACTGCGTTCGCCTGCTGATCCGATGCCTGCCTTACATATTTGAGGACGAAAAGTGGCGCGATTTTTTCTGGAGCAGTTTGCCGTCACAGGAAAAGACAATGCCTTTGGCTCAGTCGCTGTTGAATGCCACCTGCGATCTCCTCTTCTGTCCGGATTTTACTGTCACAGCTACCAGACGCACCGGTCCGGAAAAGGCTGAGGAGCTGGCCAACATCGATAGCTGCGAATATATTTGGGAGGCAGGCGTGGGATTCGCTCAGTCACCACCACACAACGCCTACATGGAGCGTCGGCGCACTGAGCTCCTGAAGCTCCTACTGACTTGTTTCTCAGAACCTATGTACCGTTCACCTCAGCAATCTGAAGAGCCCAACAAATGGATAGCGTATTTTACCTCGGCGGACAACCGGCATGCCCTACCTTTGTTCACCTCGTTTCTAAATACAGTCTGTTCGTATGATCCGGTGGGATTCGGAGTGCCCTACAATCACCTGATTTTTGCGGATACCACGGAGCCGTTGGTAGAGGCCTGCCTTCAACTGCTTATCGTGACTCTTGATCACGACATGGTCGTGCAGCAACAACTAACCCATGCAGGCCAAGCTTCCTACGACGAAGGAAATTGCGGTGATAATTTATTCATAAACTATTTGTCGCGTGTGCATCGAGACGAGGACTTTCATTTTGTGCTTAAGGGTATCACGAGGCTACTAAATAACCCTTTGGTTCAAAACTACTTGCCCAACTCGACGAAAAGGTTGCATTGCCACCAGGAACTGTTAATATTGTTTTGGAAAATTTGCGACTATAACAAAAAGTTTCTATATTTTGTTCTGAAAAGCTCGGATGTTTTGGATATACTAATCCCTATATTGTATCATCTGAACTATTCCCGAGCTGATCAGTCTCGAGTAGGCCTCATGCATATTGGAGTGTTTATATTACTGCTTTTGTCTGGTAAGAATCTGACATTTGAAGATTTTATTTATTAAGATTTAATAACCAAAAAATTTGTTCACAGGGGAGCGCAACTTTGGTGTCCGTTTGAACAAAGCCTACTCTGCTACAGTGCCGATGGATATACCCGTCTTTACCGGTACTCATGCAGACTTACTGATAACCGTTTTTCACAAAATCATTGCCACGGGGCATCAGCGCTTGCAACCACTTTTTGACTGCCTACTCACCATTCTAGTAAACGTTTCACCTTATTTGAAAACCCTATCGATGGTAGCCAGCGTAAAGCTACTGCACCTGCTTGAGGCTTTCAGTACTCCTTGGTTTCTACTTTCGGCACCTAGCAATCACCACTTAGTCTTCTTCTTGCTGGAGATCTTTAACAACATTATACAGTACCAATTTGATGGGAACTCGAATCTAGTCTACACCATTATACGCAAACGTCATGTGTTCCATGCCATGGCGAATCTCCCAACCGACATGGCCGGGATAGCCAAGTGCCTCAGTGGCCGGAAAACAGGCGGGAAGTTTAATTTACCAAGAGTACCGCAAAGGAGGACGGCAGCAGTGTCACAGGAACTGCCTTCGGCTCACGTGACGGAGGAGTACAACGAAGAGGATGACGAAGAGGAGGAAGAAGAAGTGGTAAATGAGGAGGCCAAGGCTGAGGAAGACCTCGAATCCGAAACGGAGTCCCATGATCGGTCTCAGACGGGTGAAATTCAAGCGGATGTGCTTACGGCCCAGCCAGCTGAGCCGGGAACGTTGAAAACATCGTTACTAGACACTCCAGGGATAGGGCAAATGACAGAAAGGGAGCAAGCCCATCCGAATGACAAGCCCCAGGATGAAGAATCGACTGACATTGTTCCTTATGACCGGTCCTCAGCGTCCACGCCAACTGGTGATCGCAAGTCACCTATAGAACAGTCACGTTTATCGGTGGCCCATCGCGGAAGCATTCGCATGGTGCCCGGCGAAGGAGACAGGTGGGCACCCACACCCGAATGGATCGTTTCGTGGCGCTCGAAGCTACCTTTGCAGACGATTATGCGACTTCTCCAAGTGCTAGTGCCCCAGGTGGAGAAAATCTGCATCGACAAGGGCTTAACCGACGAGTCGGAGATTCTCAAGTTTCTGCAGCACGGCACCCTGGTCGGGTTATTACCCGTTCCGCATCCGATTCTAATCCGGAAGTACCAGGCCAATGCGGGGACCACGGCCTGGTTCCGGACCTACATCTGGGGGGTGATCTATCTGCGCAATGTTGAGCCGGCCATCTGGTATGACACGGAGGTTAAGCTCTTTGAGATTCAACGTGTCTAGGTCAGTAATCTGCAAAACGCAAATCTTAAAAATCAATAGCAGTGACACCGTAGCTCACACGCTTTGGCATTTATTGTAGTTAATTTATTTAGTGCATATTTCATTCCAAAATTCTTTGAGAAAATGAACAATTCCATTTACTAAATTTCGGCTAAATCGGATGTCACATGTTTTACGGTTCTGTGGAAAAAAAGAGGCTTATCAGTGTAACGACATAGCGTGAGTTCTTTTTAACTGATTTGTTATCGTCTTTTAACATTTCCCTATTTTTTTCTAATTTATTAATTTATTGAGGTTTTAAAGTGTATTGAGTTGGTAATTTAGTTTTAAACTAAACTATTTATCGGTTATTATTTATTTTGGTCATCTGTGACAAAATGTTCCTTGTGCCGTATTATTAATGCTGCTTTGCTTTATTTATGTATTATTTTAATTACAATTTGAGCTCTGTTTTATTAAGTTACATCTAAGCCATTCCCTGCTGCAACCGTATATTGTTGTGCATAAGATTCTGATAATGCGAACCTTCGAAATAACTTTAAATTCTTACCTTCCATACGTCCATACATATATCCATTTTGTCTCTTCGTTTTGAACTCAAAAATACATACGTTAATAATTTCGTTGAAACCAAAAACAGCTTTACTTGCTATTGTATGTAATAGAAAACTTTAGTTGATTGGATCTGCTTTTAAATTAGAGGAAACAGTGTAATATTTTATTGTCTGTGTGCTTACCATTTGTAAAACTATAAAAAAAAGTATAAACAAAATGCCAATTAACCAAAATGGCAAATATACAAGTCAGTTGATACAAATCTATAAAATCTACGAAATAAATAAGAAACTAAAAAGGTATTTCGGTGTTTTTTATTTAGTATTTCAACAATAAATATACTTAAGGTTTAATTTCTAGTTCATTTTTAATTTTGATGTCAAGATCTTCTTTTTCAACATATTGGATAAAAGTTCTGTGCCAGTAAAAATATTTTGCAAACAATATAAAGAGCAATGATGCACCTGCTACTACAGCAGCTTCTCGATGGGGGTCCTTTTCTTCGTTTGACATGGTAGAGTATCGCAGAGCAGAGCCCAGATTTATGGCAAAATTATGATGAAATGTGCAATGATCCGGGTTAATCCGAGACAAAGGCACTAGTTGTCATGGTTGAACTATATTTGGGATGGCTGAAACCTGCGAAGTCACTGGAACAATGTTAAACTTAATTAGGGATGCTTTGCTGCGTTTCTGTACTATTTTTCCGATAATCTCGGGCTCCTTAATGGCTTGTTCGATGGCCTTCACGATGCGTTCGGCGCTGCCTTCATCTGATCCACTCGAACTGCCTTGAATCAGGATGCGTACTTCGTGGCGCTTTCCCAGCCATTTGGTTATGTTTTTGAGTCTAGAGGAAAGGTCATGCTCGGTAATGCGTGCCCCAATAGTCAAAGATTTCTCCGATTTTTTGTGACTTTTTTCGTTGGAAGACTTGGGTGTGGGAGTGTCATCGGCCAACATTTCGGCTGACGTCACCAATCTGTAAATTATACATAGTCTTTATTTAAATATTTAAGGTTCTCTAACGTTACCTACTTAAACATAGGGCGTCCAGTCTTCGCATCTGTCTGCTCCAAACGTAACAGGTGCAGTTCTCTCCGCTTGGCCAGCTTTTGTGCCTCCTCCAATGTGGTTATGCTAATCGCTTGATTCTGGATGAGGGTGATCTTCTGTGCCGGTGTCTTGGGTTTGTGGTCACCCGGTTTGTTTATACCGCTTGCCGGTCGGTGGTTTTGGGCTAAATACCACTGAAGAGATAAGTTCCGTAGTTGTTGCTGTTGGAAGGCAACAGACGAGTGTTGCACTCGCAACATGGTGCTTATAACAAATGAAAAACGATGCAGCTGCATTTTTTTTGTTTTTTAATTTTGTTTAAATAATTGTAACAATAATCTTCAACGTTGTGCTTGTGCAATGTTTTATATTTCTTGACGCAGAGTTGTCAGGTTTTATTTAGCTTTAAAAACTTATACATTTTATGGGATTTATGGAACTATTAAGTAAAGTTGTATTTATTGCTTAGTTTGAAACTTATAAAAAAAATATGAAAATTAAAACAATTATTTTATTTTTTTTGGTACAAAGTTGGCTTATACCAGCTGTTAAGGCTACCGTGCACATCTTGAGGTGGCGCAAATTTCTTTAATATTTCAAGGTTATGTACGTGGAGGAAGCTACACATTAAATACAAATAAGCTGGTATCAAATGCAATGTGATTAAAATAAGCTTAGCTAACATACACAAAGCACAGAAATATTTTATTTTACTTTTGAAATACATCTAACTTAAAATAAATAAACTGGGCACACTGTTCTTGACTTCGATAACTATAATTTGAATTTATGGCGCGGAACTAATAATTATTTACTTTATTTCTACCACTTTGTCTATAATTGTTGTAATTTCGTCTTCTGTTCTTGCCGCGTTTCTCTTCCCTGGACCTTGTATCTGCTTCCAAACTCCTCTCGTAGGTTCTGACATTCTGGTAATTCTGAATATTGCTGCTGCAATGATGAGAGCTCCGGGAGCCGGCACTTTTGGCACTCCTCCCATCGGCTGAACTTATTAACATTCCGATCGCACGTATCGGTGGCGAACAGCATGCATTCGTCGGCACAAAAGTTGTAGAACCAAAAATTTCCAATAATTGTTTGATTAAAGCATCGAGACTGCTCAGTTTGTAGCATCTGGAAGCATTTGTTTACCAGTGATGTATCTAATCCGCCTCCTCCAGAGGTATACAAGTCTTGGGGGCTGTGGGTTTTCTGCCTCGACCATGGATCTCGCTGTAAATCTTCTTCGGGAGTGTCAAACCTTTCACCATATTTTCTTTTATAGGAATTAGCAGGACTTTGTCCTCGCCAGTTATCTTTTTCGACGTTTCCTGCATTTGTCTGCCATGGCGTCTGCTCCTGAATGTGGTCATCTTGGGAACTTGAAGTCTGCCAGGCACTACGCTCCATATTCTCCAAACGTGAATCATCGAGACGCTGCCAAGAGGGGCGCTCCAGTCTGGCCGGTTGGTTATGGTACGGCTGTGCATTTCGTCCAAGATTGGTTTGACGCTCTAACGGTCTATTGAGTCCCCAGGAACCACTGCTGCCCTTCAGGTTACCGACTTCAAAGCCTCCTAACCCACGACTTTGATCTACTCGAGCTTCATCGTAGTCCGCGAAAGATTCTGCCTCCCTCTCGGGTTGTGGTGCATACATGTTGCTTCCACCACGCCCAGGGGATATTTCTCCATATGGATTCTCCTCATCGCCATTATAGGACCCTGGTAGATTTCCAAGACATACTCTGCCCGAGCAAGGTCGCGATTCCTGAAGTCTTGCGCGATGAACACTCTGACACTTGGCTTCCGATTGGGGATTGAGATACTGTCGCTGGCGCGTCTCATAGCCACTGCCGCAAGAGCCGCTGCAGGGACCCCAAATGCTCCAGGAACCCAGCTGACACTCAGCACGACCCTGCTGCGGTGATTGATAAACGTTCCTACCGAATCCTTGATCTGGGTCTAATTCTGGGTCGATCTCTGGGTCTATGTTCCTCATTATACTGTTCTGGTCACACATCTCACCCTCGCATTCGCGCTCTTCATATTGGGGAACATTACAGTTATAGATCTTGGCTAGCTCCGGTTGTTTGTAGACCCGCCTCCTATACTGCATCCCAGCGCCACATTTTGAGGAGCAGTCACTCCAGCCCGACCAGGGATGTGTAAGACATTCTCTGGGAACATCCGCATCATTATTGGCTAAGCGATATATAAGAAGAAGTCGTTAATGAACAGGGTATTCAGTAGTCCACTTACAATCTTCATCCGCACAACGTCTCTCATAAATTCGCTGACGCTTAATTGTCAGATAGGCCATGGGCTTCATGGGATCTCCGTTTTCATCATAGAAAGGCGAACGTGGATCATTGGGAAAGTCGGAGCGCATGCGTCTAATAACATCCGGAGGAACTTGCGGCTGATCGGGTGACTAGCAAGACAGAACAAAATAAACTTTGTATCAAAAGAAAACTCATAATTAACTACCGTATAGGTGGGACCCGCATCTGTGCCTACATCCCAAGGGTACAACTGGATAACCTTCTCGTCTAACCAGGTGCAGTTCCGCAGACAAAGCTCCAAACCACTTATGCCCACTATCCAGTCTGGCGATGGTTCAATCTTGGAGGCAAAAGAGATCATGTGATGCAACGGATCCACCCTCACAGAGGCTGAGGTCTTGCTGTTTATGTTTGGAAATGAGGGACCGCGAGCCTTGATTATGGTACGTATCTTCTGATCCTTTTAAAATAACTTTAATTAACTTCACATTCAGCCAGCTGGTCATCCTTCAGAATACCTTGAAATTGTTGCTAAACTCTCGCTCTAACAGTCGAGAACTACAGTGTTCTGCATATTGCTTCATAGCCTCGTTGGCCAGGGCTCCGGCTTCCCAAAAACGATAGTCTGCGCTGTGAGCCGCTCCAACCAACTCACAGAATCGTGTTTCCCAGCTGCGAGCAGGAAAATCCCTTGGATGCAGATTTCGCGACCAAACGCCCTCGAAGATTAGCTTTAAAAATGGATGAGACGGATATTACTGGTATCATAAGATCGTTTAGACTGACCTCGTAGCGCGCTTCGTCGCAGGCACAGCATGGGGCCTCCGCAGAAGGTGCCGACGGTTGGCTTTCCACATCGTCCGTGGTCTCAGGGCAGATGCGTCGAGTTAATCCTCCATCGTCCATGTGCCATACATCACGATGCTGCAGAACAGTGGCCCGTATCAGGACGCAACCACTTTCGGGATTTGTGGGTGCCACCCAGGTAAGATGCATATGGGTTTTTGGATTCGTATTAGTGTTCTCCACCATGTTAATGCAATTTGGACTAAAGCGGGTTTCTATAGTATCACTTAGCTCAAATCGTCCTAGATCATCATTGTAGTTGTAATCTCCGTTCTCGTTCTCCAGAGCCAGAATAAAGCTGATGTACCGATGCCCATTGAATGCATTTAGGGAGACTTAGAAAAACACGAATCTGAGCAACACTCTGAGCAAGACTACATATAAGCTAAGCGCGGCCCTTATCAGGGGCCTTGAAATTCAACAAATTCGCAAGGGCCTCCGATAAGAATTCATGTGCCGCACTTTGTTTAGTAAACAAAAAACATTGCGAAATCTAGTCGGTAGCCTTCAGATTTCTCTCTCAATGTCTAACACTAGTTGAACAATCATGAATGGCCCACGAAGTTCAAGCGCAAGGCCATTGAACTCTCCGCTCACCGTTGTACTCCTGACCGAGAATGTACGTTTCCGGATTACCCGACACGCTTATCACGTAATTTTCATCCACGGGGGACTTGGGCGTGGCCGTATTCGACGGACGCCGTGTGCAAATCAAGGAGTAAACATCTCCAAGGAAAAAAATAAGAAGAACTAGCTCCACGATAGGAGCAGCACATGACCGCCACATTTTCTGTGTTTAGGGAACTTTAGTCGCTTGGACCTTTTAATGCAAGCAACGGTTTGGAACTGAGACGGGGTCCCCAAAATCATTCGCCAAAAGCCAGAAGAGAGAGTCGAATCTGGACTGATAAGCCAGAGTGCGGCTTATTTTTCTGACCCACTGATACAAATATATAGCGCATGGAGCTCTTATCACGCCAATACGCCGGACGCCGGAAAACTGTCCAAACTTGTAAGAGAAAAAACCCAAGGAACTTCTCTTGGAAGACTATAAAGAGTTTAGTTAAATATTTATTGATTCTTTTCAATTAACGCTTATATGTATAAAATTTATGTTTTAGCCACCATACCGACCTCTTCTCTGTGAGTCATATTTGTTCCTCGTTTGCGTCATGGGATCTTCAATATTTCCTGCTATTTCCTCGGGTCTGTAATCTCCTCTCTGGTCAAAGGACTCTCTTGGCGAATCCGGATATCTGGATCTGTAGGTGGGTTCCCTGATTTGGCTAAAGGATTCACCTTCTCCTTCGCCAAATCGAGTTCCAAAATGGGATGAGGTCTTTGGTGTTTCTGAGAATCTGGGTCTGTAGTTCGATTCTTTTGTTTGGCTGTAGGATTCTACTCCGCCCTCACTAAATCGATTATTAATATTAGAGGATACTCTTGAATTGTACGATAATCCCATGGGTTGGCTATTGGGCCCTCTCCATCCTCCTGCTGTCTGACTGTAAATTCTTTCCCCATAATCGTGCATCTGATTGTTTTCCGTGGGCTCCATGTTGTTGTGAGGATGCAAACAGGTCCCCTCACAGGCCATCAAAGTTCGAAAGCGGTTCTTGTTCTCGTCGCAGTTATCGGTCGTGAAGATCTTGCATTCGCGGTCATCGCTATCATAAAACCAGTAGTTGCTTACCACCAAAGGATGGGCAAAGCAAGGATGTTCATAGTCGTATGGCTTTTGAAAGCAGTAGTCCTGCACAACATTGAAGCTATCATTGCCTTCGCTGTTGTTGTCTTCGAAGTTTTGTTGGTTACTGAAAGAACGTCCTCCATCAGGAGATTGGGTACTAAACTCGGATCTTAAATTGGGCGGGGAGTAATCATTGTTGCCATATCCCGGGCGGTTCCCTACTAATTGGTCATTTGTGTAGCTATTAGAGGGGGAGAATCCAGAGTCCAGAGGCTGTCTCCGATTGGAATCATACCCTCTATTGCTAGGTGGGCTATTAAAAGAGTTTCTATCCTGATTGTCTTCCGAGTTATCCCCTATATCGAATGGCGGTCTATTGATATTGTTCAAGTTCGAGTTGAACCCCTTTCTGTTCCAGGTTTGAATACCAGATGACGGATTGGCATTATCCTGCCGGTTGATCCATGTCGGTCTCCGAGGGTCTAAGCCATTCTGCTCTGCTTCGCCGAAAGGATCCGCTTCAGGAAGGCCGTCCATTTCACCAACATCGGGAATTGTGCCACCACAGTTGGGCCCCACACATTCTCTGGTTTCTTCCAGTGGCAGTCGCATCACGGACATACACCTCTGCCTGGCTTGAGGATTATAGAAGTCGCGGGTGCGAGTGGAAATCCCCCTGCCGCAGGTTTTGGAGCACGGTGACCATTGAGTCCATCTGTTGATTTGGCACTCTGCAGATGAACCGCCTCCCAGAGGGCTTTCCATGTCTTTTGCGGAATCTTCATCAGGCAGTTCCTCATCCATTCGACCGCATTGTGTTCCCTGGCATTGGCGAGTCTCTTCCAGTCGAGTCTTGCAGTTGTAGTTGGCTGCAAGGCTGGGATTCTTGTAACTGCGTTGGCGCTGCGAAAGCCCCGCACCACAGCGTGTACTGCACTGTGTCCATTCGTTCCAGGGATGCACAGCACACTCCAAGGGTCCTTCCTGGGCAACTAGTGGACCAATTTAAGATTAATCATCTTTAAATGTTATTATTTTTCTTACCTTCATCACATTCCCGAATGTAAAGCTTTTTTCTGGTTAAGTAAAGAGTGGCTAGTGGCTTTAATGGAACACCTGATGGATCATAAAACGGGGAACGATAGTCACTGGGATATGAGGAGGTTATGCGGCGTATCACATCCGGAGGAATCTGAGGCTGATCCGGTGACTGCAAAAAAGGGAACTTTACATTCCGCACGACTGGTCTTAGCTTTTTTTTTACCATGTAGGATGGTCCTGAATCAGTGCCGATATCCCAGGGAAAAAGGTTCAATACCTTTCGTTCCAGCCAGGTACAGTTGCTCAGACAAAGCTCTAGACCAGCTACCCCCAATATCCAATCTGGTGAAGGGTCTACCTTGGTGGCCAGCGAAATCTGATGGTGAATAGGATCTACTCGTGCATTGGCCAGGGTAGTGCCCCAGACGTTCAACCGATGAGATATTCCAGGAGCTTTTATTAAAGTGCGTACATTGCCATTCTGAAGAACCGACAACGATTCGAGTGAGAAAAGTTTAAGCTTTAAGATTTTAAAAGACCCACCTGCGTGTTTTCTCTAATTTCGTTTTCCAGGGTCTTGGTGGAGCCGTGCTCGGCCATTTCCTGCACTCCCTGACTAGCTCGTCCTCCGTAGGCCCAGTACCGATAGCTGTTGCTATGAGAAGCTCCAATTACTTCACCGAATCGGGTCCTCCAAGCCTCGGCGGGAAAGTATTTGGCGTGAGTATTCCTGTTCCATTTTCGTTCTAGAACGATCTGTAAACACATTTTTTTAACTCCTCCACTGATATAATCCTCTGACTCTTCCTCCCCACGGAACTAACCTCATACTTGGCCTCATCACAAGCACAGCAGGTTTCCAGAGGTGGCGTCAAGATGTTAAGCTCATCGATCTCTTCGGGACAAATCCGCTTGGTCAAGAACCCATCGTCGATAAACCAAACATCGCGATGTTGGACAATGCCGGCCTTGATCAACACGCACCCACTTTCGGAATGACGTGGTGCCACCCAGGACACCTTAATGCTGTTCTTGGCGTTTGTGTTGGTACTCTCCACCATATTCTCACAACCTGAGGCAAACCTAGTGTCCGTTGTGCTAAAAAGCTCAAAGTGACCAGTCGTATCCACGCCACTTAAACTAAGAGATGGATCCTCGCTCTCTATGACCAGAGTGAAGCTGAGGAATTTCAAATTTATTGGACAGGATAACGAAACTAGGAAACGTATATTTTTCTTTACAAAATGTGAATGGACATGATGCTATTCTATCCTTACCATTGTACTGATGATCTGGAATGTAGGTTTCTGGATTGCCATCAATAAGAATCTGAAAATTGTCATCTACCGCGGATCGTTCACCATTAGCGCCTTGAGGCACTCGATCGCAGGCTCCCCTCACTTCGTAGGCCAGAAAAAGGATCAGAAATATCCGGCGTAGCATTTCTTCTCGATTTGCGAAATCCCGATGCGAACACATTCAGAGCTCAAAGACAACTGGCCAAAAATTGATCGAGTCGCCGCCTCCATTAATCGATGTGCGCTTCAATTTATCAATTATCCCCTTAGTCTGATTGATTGAGTTGCCGCCAATTAAGAGTCCCTTGTTTTTGTGGCACGCTCTCCATTTAACGTCTCAGTTCTGAGTTCTTTGAACTTGGAAGCGGGCAAAAATCACTGGGAAAGTGTTCAAAGTTATACAACAGATCTGGGTCAATGACAAACTCATAGGGAAGGGAAATAGACCTTTTTTGGTTTATTAATTAGAGCAGTCAGTACGCCATATAACATAGAGTAAGCTATACAGAGCTCTTTAGCATCCCTAAAGTAAAACTTTTGAAAGTTAATCCAGAATATTTGAAATATCATTTTTCTATGTGATTACATAATTGGATTACAATTAATACTTATTACAGCTAAAGAATCTTAATTTCGGGTACAGTCACCACCTGTCGGGATCGTCGTTGCTGGTCAGCAAGCAGGGCATCATCACACACTTCTCTATTCGAACCCGGTCCTTGCACTTGAAGCTCATGTCCGTGTTGAGGAGGGTGCGGGTGCGCTGGCGTACAGCATTGTCGCCACAAGTGGCGGTGCACGGCGTCCAGGCAGACCACTCCGAATAGCGACACTCATCTCGCTCAGGCACCGGATGGACCTTCACCACGTGCCTTCTCTCGCCGAAACCGCGACTGCTTATGGAATACATGTCGTCGCATCTCTGATAGCAGCGGTCCAGACGTACCAAGTGCTTGGGACATGAACGACCGCCGTATTTGGGAGTTCTCAAGACACGACGCGTTCGCAGCTGGTAACCATCGCCGCAGGTGGCATTGCATATGTGGGACACCCATTCGGAGACCAGGCAATCAACTGGCGGACGGCCATCGTGCTGCAGCTCCTGCTTGTGACGCGGCACGCGACAAGTGTCTTCGCACTCCTCCTTCGACTTAAACTTGTTGCGGTTGGTGTCGCACCGGTCCGACCAGTAGATGGCGCAGTGGTCACTCACGTGGTCATAATACCAGAAGTTTACCACATCGCTGTCCCGGCAGGGACTATCCGTCAGCTGATCGTAGCAGAAACCTGGTACGATGGTGTCGCAGCTGGGATTCGTGCAGTTCACCTCCTCCTGCAACTTGATGTGGCGACAGGGATCCGGACCATCATAGTTGGGATCTTCCACTCCGTAGACCTGATTGTTATTCCAGACCTTGCGAATGCGTTGGCGCTTTCCATGTCCACCACAAGGAGCTGAGCAGGGTGAAAAGTCAGACCAAGGAGTCACTCCACAAACAGGCGGGATAAAGTCCTCCCGGTGCTGGCTGTAGCTTTCAAAATTGCGGAATATCGAACGCTTCTCCGCAGAGCCTCCATTTTCGCCACCAGACTGTTCCTCTTCCGGATCACCGCCTCCATCAGCACCGTTCTCGATGTCACCACCGCACTCCATAGCCTCGCAGACCTTTGTTTCCTGCAGTCGCACCTTGCTCGCCTTCTGGCACTTCTTTTTGGCCTTCTTGTTGAGATAATGGCGGGATCGCGTCATCTCGCCGGTGCCACAGGTCACCGTGCAGGAGGACCACTCGCTCCATTCCGACAGGCCGCATTGCGGATCATCGTAGCCACCCGGGGGAGTGCCACCGGTTTCCTGTTGAGCCTCGACTTCTTCCTCATTGAAACTGGCACACTTGCGACCCACACAGTTCTTCTCCTCGCGGAGGGCATTGTTGCAACGATGGCGCTACGAAATAGGATAATGATAAGGACCCCTGAAGTAGCACACAACCTCAACTCACCGAGGCCAGCACGGGGTTCTTGAATTCACGTGTCCTGTATTGCTTTCCGGGTCCGCACTTGGTGGTGCACTCATCCCATTTAGACCACGCCTCGGTGGCGCACTCAGGCGGTAGTTGTTCCGCTGGGAATCAAAATTTTATAAATTATGGTATACTAGCAGTTGAAGTTCTCTTACAATCCGTTGATTCGCAGTTCTTTTCGTACAGGCGTCGCCGGTTAATGTGCAAGGTGGCCAGAGGCTTCATCTGGGCGCCAGTGGGATCGTAGAAGGGTGACCGTAGATCATTGGGATAGTTGGACTTGATGCGACGGATAACATCTGGCGGAACTTGTGGTTGATCTGCTGACTGTTAACATAACCATTTTCAGCTTGATTTGTTTATTAAAAGAAATGCAAATACTAACCATGTAAGAAGGTCCACTATCTGTGCCCGCATCCCAAGGATAGAGATTGTGCACTTTGTTTTCCACCCAGGAACAGTTAGGCAAACACAACTCCAGACCAGAAACACCCACTATCCAATCCGGCGAGGGATCCACCATGGAGACCAGCGATATCAGGTGGTGACTGGAATCCACACGGAAAACAGCGAACGTCTTGCCCGTAACATTCGGATAAGCTATGCCCCGGGCCTTGATGATTGTCCGGATGTGTTCGCTCTGATCCTTCAGCTCGCTCTCCAGGGTACGGGTGGAGCCGTGTTCGGCCACCTCCCGCAGTCCCTCACTGGCTAACTCCCCGTACTGCCAGAATCTGTAGTCTATGGTATGGGATGCCCCAATGATGTCGCTGAATCTGGTACGCCAGCTATTGGCCGGAAAATCCTTGGGATGCGTGTGCCGCGACCATTTGCCCTCAAAGGTGAGCTTTAAATAACGCTATTATTTGTTGAATCTCTTTAGATATTTTAGGTATTCTTACCTCATATTTGGCTTCATCACAGGCACAGCAAGGATCCATGATGCTGGGCTGAGTGTCAATGTCGTCCACCTCCTCCTCACACATCCTTTTGGTGAGAAAACCATCGTCCATGAACCACACATCCCGGTGCTGCAGTACTGTTGCCCTCAGCAGGATGCATCCTTGTCCTGGTGTGGAAGGAGCGACCCAAACCAAATCCACCCGGGTTTTAATATTCGTGTTTGTGTTCTCCACTAGATTGGCACACCTCGGGCTAAAACGAGTCTCGGCCAGATCGCTTATTTCCCAGGTGCCCACTGCATTCGGATTGTCCTCGCTCTCTCCAGTTTCCAGATCCAGAGCCAACATGAAGCTCACAAACGACAGGCCGCCAAAGGCACTGAGAGTAACTGTGTTTAAGGAATTATTTAGGTTACTCCCTAAATATAATTTTATGGAAAAGACCCAACTAACCATTATATTTCTGTCCAGGCACGTAGCTGTGGGCATTTCCGCCCACGGATAACACAAAGTTATCGTCCACCGGTGATTTGGCTGCAGTAGTTCCCGACGGCGACCGGTTACAGGCCTCGATCCTTGCCAAGGCCAGAACCACAAGAAGGACCGGCAGGACCCTCATTCTGACGAGCTACTGGAATAAGAATTAGGGACAAGTTATGCGGCGCAAAACTATTTCTGGTATTTCAGTTTCCAGGCTGTTAATTGTCTTAATTATCCGCCTTCGTATCAAATGCCAATGGCAGCCATTGGGACCCAGTTCCTGCACTGAAATGAACTTGAAATACTAAACGCAGCCTTCAATTAGAGAGCTCCATGTGATATCGAATTCACCATATTGCACTAGCATAGACATCTATTTTTAAACTGACACTTTCCATTTCCTTTGAGAACCGAATCACAGTAATCCAATTGCCATGCGGAACTTGATGTTGTGTACCCTTTGAATAATAAATCGTATCTCGCATTATTATATGTACATATGTACTATAAAGAGCGACTACGTCACTGATTAAATTCAATTGAAAAACTCGCCGTCTGCCTCAAGCAAAATAATAGCCAAAAAGGGTGAAAAAATAACGATTTCCCTAGATTTCATCATTAAAGTCACTTTTAGGGTTTCTTTTTAGTTACTAATATATGTACATTCTAACCTGTTTTCACTTGTTAACCACTTACTATAGCTTAGTATCTGTGACTGGTATTTAATGTATTTTGGGTATCTCTTAGATACTTTTTGGCACTTGTACAGCTTAGTATTGATGGGCCATTTAGCTCTCGATTTTAGAAACTGATGTATATAAATAAGAAACCTCCAACTCGTAGGGCACTCGGACCGCAACTGAATGCAAATTCACACGAGCCGAGTCCGATTATTGGACAGACGACGTGCATCATTACGGGCCCGACGACTGCAAGGGTGAGTGGCTTATGGAGAGCACTACGGAGAGCCCCATTGCTCTACTTTGGCCCCACATTTAGCTTGGATTCCTCTTTGTGGGAGGCTTCGGGTTTGTTTATATTATTCTTTTATGTTTTTGTTCGCTCATTCTAAACAAAATCGCAAAAATCCGGATCAAGCAATCCATGACATTATGGAGTCATGGAGCTAGACTGTCGTGCTTGAGATTTATCATTATTTGTAAAATCGTATAAGCGAATACCCGGTTTTTTCTACAATTTCCAGCCGACATATATTTGATTAGTGAATTCTTTCGAAATTTTAAATAGTTTTTCGCATTCAAAATAACAAAAACAAAACTCGCGCAGTTTTCCAAAAAATAAATATTTGGTAAAGCTATCATGTCTTCTCTACTAAACGCTGCTTCAAATGTTAGGGGTAAGTAGGTTCATAAGAAAAAGCCGTTTGTTCATTGTTGCGAGATCCGGTTCATAGAAAATCGAGCCTCCAGGCTGCGTGCTCAACAATTGGCTGAAAAGCCACAGACTCGGACCGTCACCTGGGTGAGTAACTTTTTTTTTTCGATGTCTGGATGTGCAATGGGAAATACCTTTCCGTTCCATAGTCGAACGCTCCCTCACGTCCTGGAGGATTTGGCAAGCCCGATCCTTGCCCACCGCAGGGATTACCGGCATCGCTTCTACGCAACAGTAGCCGTATTCCGACCCGTAGAGTTCCGGGCGTGAGAACTTCAAGGCCCACATCGCCTATGGGTTCCCTCCGGGGCTCATCCCCAGATCGGGTGAGTATCTGCTCGCTGCCCAACCATTTGGAGGAAAAAGCCAGTCCGAAGCGGAAGGCGCTTGTGGCAGGAGATGCCGACTTGCAGATTTCAAACCAAAAGGATAAAACTAGTTCCCTAGAAGTACTCAACGACCAGACGGACTTTAAGCCCGTAAATAAGCGAGTGCGGTTAGACTTACAGCCACAACATCCGGCTGCAAAGGATGTCATTTTGCCTAAAAATAGTAAGTAGTTCCAAACTTTTTTCTTTATATGATTAATACTATGAAAATTCGTTTCGTTAAGAGGGCGCCAAACCCTCAATCTTACGCAAACGTACTACCATTGTGAAGACCGATCGCGCCCATCATCGCGTTTTAGATTTAAACAAACTCCGAGTTGTCGATGTCCAGCAAAAGAAGCTGGAGAATATGCAGTCGGAATTCATGGCAAAAATCCGGTCATTGGGAATTCTAGCCAAGGAGCATAGAGGCACATACAAGTTTGTGGCCATGGTGGTCAACGATAGTTGCAAGTTGGTGGTGCATGAGGATGACATGCTGCGCCTGCCCAGAAACATCCGTAAGTTATAGAAAATAAATTCTATACAAATTTTAGAAAATGTTTTCTTTAGCCGTCGAGAGTGTTAATGACTTAAAACACAGATGTAGAAATATTGTGGATACAGGCTTTATGATGTTTTACGATTTCATGCCCATTATACAGCACTCCAAGAGCGACAAGGAGGCACAGGAAAATCGTGAAGTGCTACGCGCTCAACTTAAATCCGCTGTGGTAGGTCCTTACACCTCATACTCAGGAAGCGCTGAGCCCATTCACATCCTTATCTGTTAACAGAACCGTAGAATAAACAGCGTGATCGAAGAGATTGACGAGCTGTGCCGAACAAAGGGCAAGAGAGACGAAGCCCCCAACAGTACGTTGTACCGCGAAATGAATGAGTTGCGCGTTCAGAAGACGAACATGGAGACTCGATACTTCGATCTGAAGAAGGAACTAATAGATCAAATTAATCAGCAAAAAGCCGATTGTGACGCCAAGATGGCGGTGGAGATTTCAGTCCGTGATCATAAAGTCTCGGAATTGAGAAAGTCCCTGCGACGCAGCGAGGATCTGGTTGCAGAGTTGAATATACGTTTATCGGAAAAGGATGATGACCTAAAGACCAGCAACCAAACTATTTTAACATTGCAGTCTGAAAACGACGAGCTTGTTAGGGTGTAAGTGAAAAACATCATACATAAAATGATAAAAATTTATAAAAATTAATTTTTTAAGCAACAACCGCATTCAAAAGAGTATGGAGGACACTAACCTTGGATTAGAACGTGCGAACAAGACGGTCGCGAATCTCGAGGAGAAAATCTCGTACTTGCGAGATGAACTGAAAGAAGCCCGAGAGTTAATTGTCAATCTGCAAAAGCGTCCAGATCCCTTGGACGACAAGAGTATGGGCGAGAAAGATGTGATCATCGCTGACCTTAAGTTGCAGCTCCAAAATTTCGAGCATCACCGGAACATGATGCAAAAACAAGTTAACGCTGCTGTGAAGCAAGTGGCAGAGTTTGATGAGTTGAACGCCAAGTACCAGAGCTCCGCTACTCAATTGAAGTAAGTGGATTCATGTTTAAACATATTTAATGCGTATATCCCAAAACGTATGATCTGTTCTTCCAGTGAGCTCCGCGAGCAGCTGAGGAACTCTGAAGCTAAACGTATCATCCACGCTCGAAACGAGGAGCAACTGCGCAAGGATTTAGAAAAGTTGCGCGATCAATCCAGTCGGGATCAGAAAATGCTCTCCCTACGCAGCGACATGATCAATGACCTTCAAGACAACGAGAGGGATTGTCAGCTCAAAATCGATAAAATGTACAAAGAAATAAAATCCGTTGAAGAGGTCCGGGTCTCTGAATCAGGATCCGTTCTTATGTTTATACTTATTTCTCGTTGCAGGTAAAGAAGAACCTGACCCTGAAAGAGAAGGAGTTCCGCAACCTTTTCGGAACCCTAACATTTAAGCAGAAGGAGCTTAGACGACAGGATCACGCCATCAAGTTGATGAAGGAGGAAAATTCAAGGATTATATCGCGGCAGACCAAACAGAAGGAACGAAATACTGCCATGCAGGCGGAGATAATTAATCTCAAGAAAATAATGTGAGTTTTGAATAAAACTAATATTTTAATCGGATTTAAATATATTTTTTTTTAAATATTTATTTCTATAAAACAGTAAAATTAATAGATAATGTATCCTACTTTCTGTAAAAGATTTTAATACCAGATTAAATATAAAATGACACATATTTCAATAGGTCTATTGATTAAGAAAAGGTTTGCTAATTTGCTATTACTTTCTAAAAGTATCTCGGAAGATACATCACTATGCTAGGACCTGATCCGGAGCCATGAGTTCATTTTTAATGAAGATTACACTTTAGGCTCCTGGCATTTATTTCCAAAATTCCCAAAGTAAGTAATGGCAAATTCAGCGAACTTTTTAGTGTATTTTATAAGAATAACCATTTGGAACTAACATTTATTTGTTGCAGATTTAAGTATGCGAAGTTAGTTATTGGTACGAACGGTCAGAAATCTTTTGAGGTTGTGCCAGGTGAGTGTAATGATTATTGTTACTTTGGTGCTGCATTGACCCAAATTAAAGACTTAGAGGACGCTTCTATTAATGCACCGAGGCTGCAGCCACAGCCGCACCCACACCCACCGCAGCGCCGGCATCGGTCCATGTCCCTGTCGCATGGAAGAAGTTTCTTTGATCCACTGCAGCGCTTTCACGAACAGCAACAGCAGCTTCTGCAACGACAACGTCGCTCCACAGACAGCCCCAGAAGAATGCATCAGCATAACCAAGAAGACCGGCAGCAAAATCCGCTAAATATTCCCGCTCCTCAGCAACATTCATCCCAGCAAAATAATCAACAAAATCATCATCTTCACCGTCGACACCGACGTCACCACCGTAACTAATACGGAAATTATTAAGATAGCTTACCAAAATTTGTTGTGATAGTTTGCCAACTGGCATTTGTTTGGTTTTCACCCAGTAAACGTTCTTTAAAGAAATCAGATTTATTTGTCTTAAATGCGGCTAGATGAATAGAAAAGGGGGGCCGGTCATCGATTGGTCCGCAAATCTATAAACTAGAACAGTTAATTGAAATGATTTATATTTTGAGGACAGCGCCGCTTAACAAGTACGACCTTGATTATGAGACGGCAGTTTGCAACTTGTTTTCTGTTCTATGGTAAAATTTAATTATTTTTAGTTATTTGTACATAAAAATATTGACAACTTTTGCTTCATATTTTGTCAAAAAAAATTGTTGTGATATCAGATTTTTACCAGCTGCTGTGGGATCGTCGGAATTTAAAGCTCAACTGTGTCTCGTAGGTTTCCTAGCGGATAATCTTCGATGCGCCAGTTAGTCACATCAAGCAGCTTGTTAAAGACGGTTCTACTGAAAAGAAAACACGGCACCCACTACTTTGGCAGTATTCCACGGTAGTATAAGATGTTCCAAAAACTCTCATAAAAAAGTTGAATTTGTGTGGTGCTGGTTGCAGTTTAAATAAGTGCAGGAGATAAAATTCAAGAATTACGTCCATTAAGTGTTAAAGCATGCTACATGTTTATATCATCATGATAAGAGCATATTTTGATAAGAAAATCCCCCAAAAAGGGGAACTTAAATCTTCTGTCAACAGCTTTCGTTTAGATGCTAGAATTGGGTTGAAGAATTTTTGTTAATACTACGCCTTGAACTGCTAAGTAACACGATAAGGCAGATTCTTCAGACAATGCTATAATTTGTAGACGATGCACATTGGTTCTGGATCTTGAAAATATGCAAGACATTTCAGTTTTGGTGATTAATGGACGCGTTGAACTCTAACGATTGCAATTTTTCATATCAGTCAACAGCAGCAAGAGTCATAAATTTTAAAATTTGGAGATAGCTCAAGAAAACATTTAATAATTAATTGTCGTATGCAGATTTATTTTGTTTAAAAGGAAATTTGTTATAAAAAAATGTACGGATTTCTTACGGAAGAAAGTATTATTAATTAATTATTAAGTATTATTAAATAATAATTATTAAATTCTGGTATAACTTAGTTTTATTATATGTTACTTTGCTTCTGAGCTTGTGTTTTGTCTAGTTGCTTGCATTAAATTTATTGTCTTGTACCTTGAATCAGCCCTAATCCTTAAATATGGATGATGCAGAGTATCAGAAACTGAGCTGTAACGTGGAAGGATCGAGGCAAGAACAATCAGGATCTGGAACGGCTGTTATTTATACCTCAGCCGGAGAAGAAGTGCGTTAAAATAGCTAAAACTCCCTCTAATTAAATGTTTATTAATTTTAATTTAATATTCAGCTTACCATAAACTGTGATATTGTTCATGAAATGGAATCTCAGACTTCAACTCAAAGAGACAAGTGGGGCAAAGGCGTGGAGTTTCTCTTCTCCTGCATAGCCCTGTCCGTGGGTTTGGGAAATGTCTGGAGATTTCCATTCATAGCTCTGGAGAATGGTGGGGGTGCCTTCCTTATACCCTATGTGATAGTGCTCCTGTTGATTGGTCGACCTGTTTACTATCTGGAGGTGATCATTGGACAGTTTTCGAGTCGTGGCTGTATCAGAGCTTTCGACATGGCTCCCATAATGAAGGGTAAACTATTGATAGAGTTTAAAGATGATATTTAAAAGAGAAAATTTCTTAAAAAGGGATAGCTTATGGCCAAGTTTATTCGACTGCTCTGGCCACCACCTATTATGCCTGCATTATGGCCCTGACTATACGTTATTTGGTGGCCAGTTTTTCCGAAATCCTGCCCTGGACTTACTGCCTGGCGGAGTGGGGTAGTAGCTGTGTGGCCACTGCAGCTTCTTTGGAAAATAATTCATTTGTTTCCCAAGGAGTTTCCTCAGCAGAGCTTTTTTTTACGTAAGTTTTTTTGCTTTACCCATGAAAATATTTTTAATAGGAACCTTTAATTGCAGACAAACTGTTCTAAGAGAACCCGAAACTCTGGAGGAGAGTGGCTTGGGAACACCTAGCTGGGATTTGGTACTCTGTCTCATGGCCACCTGGTTGATCATTGCCACTATCCTGTGCCGCGGAATTCGTAGTTCTGGAAAGGCATCTTATTTCCTAGCCCTATTTCCGTATGTGATTATGTTTATCCTACTCATCAGAGCGGTTACCTTGCCAGGAGCTTGGCGGGGCATTGTGTACTTCTTGGAGCCACAATGGTCCCAGCTTCTGAGTCCCCATGTCTGGTATGCGGCTATAACTCAAATGTTCTTTTCATTGGCCATCTGCTTTGGTACTCTTGTGATGTACGCCTCCTTCAATGATTTCCACAAAAATGTTCACAAGTAAGTTAAAAAAAATCTAATATTTGCTAAATAAATCTAATTGTTGTCTTTATAGAGATGTAATTATTATAACCACTATTGATTCGCTGACCTCCATTCTGGCTGGATGCATCATTTTTGGGATTCTGGGCAATCTGGCCTATGAGACAAATACCAGTGACATATCTCAAGTCGTCAAGGGCGGAGCTGGCCTGGCTTTCATCTCGTATCCCGAAGCCATTGCTAAGTTCAAGTACCTGCCCCAGTTGTTCTCCGTTCTATTCTTCTTCATGCTGTTGGTGTTGGGCATCGGATCCAACATTGGCATGGCCAGCTGTGTGATCAACGTGGTCAAAGATCGCTTCACCCACCTGCCGCACTGGCTTCTGGCTGTAGGTGCCTCCCTGATTGGATTCCTGTGCGGCTTGGTTTACATGACCCCGGGCGGCCAGTTCGTATTGAACCTGGTGGATTTTTATGGTTGCACGTTTATAGCTCTGGTATTGGCGATTGCTGAGCTCCTGGCAGCTGGTTGGGTTTACGGCGTCAAGCGCATTTGCAGCGACATTGAGTTTATGTTGAACATAAAAACTAGCTTCTACTGGCGCATCTGCTGGGCCATCATTGCCCCTGGCTTAATGTTTCTGGTCTTGGTGTACATGCTCTTCAGCTATGAGCCGCTCACCTACCGTGGAGTGCAGTATCCACCGGCCTACTACATGGCAGGATGGGCCATTTGGGCACTGGGGGTGTTGCAACTACCCTTCTGGGCTGTGTACACCATATATCATCAGCCTGGCAAGACTTTTTCCAGTGTAAGTATATTTTATGCACTTTAAGAACTTCATCTAAACGGCAACCTATATCCACAGAAACTACGAATGTCCTTGCAACCCACTGCGGACTGGGGCCCCTTGCAGAGTCAAGAGTATGAGGCATATATGCTTCACCGAAAACGTGAATCGGAACTGAAATCACAACGTGGCTCGTATATTTTCGACAATATCTTTGGCTGAAAGAACACACCTTTATGGATTTTTAATTTTACGCTTTATTGTTAAGACCAAACGCCTCAAAAACGTTTGTTTTTGCTTCAAGCTTTTAGCTTAAATTGTGACCAAAAATTTCTAACATTCTTTAATTAATATAATTTTCTTAGGCCTTAGGCTTAGCATAAGCATTGAAATTTTAGGTTATCTAAATAATTAAATTGATTTCCAGAGAAAAAGTAAGCTAAATCATTTAAATGGCAGCTAGATGATATTGTCCTTGACTGGGTGAATTAATGGCTTGTTTTTACAATAGTTTTTGTTTCTTCAAGATATTTGTAACAAGTGTTCTTGCTACATTTTTATCCAGTTGGGGATTTTTTGGGCTTTTTTCTGCTTTATTTAATTATCACAGCACTATTTGATTCTGTTGTTATTTTGCAAAATTAAAGAGTTTTGAAATACGAGAAAACGGCATTTGATGGGCGAGTGAGTGGGTGCAGCGCCTCTACAAAGTCCACTAACTATTTACAATTCTTTTTTAAGTAATTATAATATTTTGTTTTATTTCCTAAGCCAAGCAATAATTTAATAATTTTAGACAATCTTTTGTGGCTTACATATTAGGCTTAGTTTGTAAAATTGAAATTGTTTATTAATTAACATTAGGCTTATTTTTGCTTTGACTTTGGCAGATTTGTGTTAGATTTGGGCAAAGTTAGCTAATTCCCCCAACCCACTACTGAAACCCATTTCTCAGCCCGCTCTTTCCTGCTTTTCCATAGACTTTTATATTCATTTAATCTTGATCTAATGCTAAGAATTGACTTTTGGTTTGCAGATTTCATATCCTACTTTTCAGCGCAAAATTCAGCGTTTTTAATTGTGATTAACTGCTCGTTTGTTCTCTAATAAATATAGGTATACATATTAAGTTCCCACTGTATCTTCTATTGGTTTTGTGGTTAAAATGGAAGTTTTCTTCTTTCGCTAGAACAACTCACACTAGATATGGTCCTATTAATTGGGCTTGTCTCTATATGATTTTATAGAAAAATCTAGCACACGATATGGAGTTACCTTGAGTATATGGTCTACTGCTTATTTTTAAATGACTTCGACTAGAGAGGGTTTTAAAATTTGTTAATGCCTAGTTAGTGTAGAATCAGAATCACGTAAAAGGTGCAGCTTTTTTCACAATTGCAGTGTTTGTTTCGCATTAGGTGTTAGCCTTAGCCCTAGATTCGTTATTTAATTAATTAACTATACACAAGTTAGAAAATAGATGTAGATTTGCCTGTTAAACCCAGTAGCCAGTATCCATCACTAAAAGGCCTGTATTGGTCGGTAGAGTCCCGTGTATCCGCAGAGCCTGGCCCGCAACGCCGGTATCAGGAATGCGGCCAGCGAGATGTCCTTGAGCAGATCGGCGCACTCGCACACCAGCAGATACATCTTGTCGCCCTTCTGTGAAGTGCTCTTGTGCAGGGCGATGCGCCGCAGACCGGCGGCACGTGGCAGGTACCTGGAATGGCGTAGCAAAATGGTAAATTTATCAATCAGGAAGGAAGAAAAATTAATAAAAAAGGATTTAGAAAAAATAAAAAATTTTAAAATTGTATATACTTTGAAAGTAGAAACCTCAAACTTCCATGTATGTATATTAGCATTTTATTTTATAACCTTTATTTCTCAACTCTTTTTTCAGCGTGTACCTGTACAACATTCGGGCACCGGTCCAGTAAAGCCAGTTCTTTTCGAATCGTTCGCCATCGTCGCCCTCAAAAACCTGCGGAATTAAAATTGAATTTTTTATGAAATTTCTGCACATTTCAGGCAGCTTCTCCGACTGCTCCTTCTTTGTTTTTTTTTTTTTTCATTTCACTACTCGGACATCGCCCACCTTGAAAACACTAATAATATAGCCGGTAGCTGCTGTCTGCGACTTCTTGAAGCTGCCGGCCTCGTTCGAGGGCAAGACAAGAGGCGGACGGCAAATGGCAGCCACCTCGCTATAGAGGTCCAGGGTGTGGGCGGCAGTGTATCTGGAATGCGGATTACAATCAAGATTGGTACATAAATAGGCAATTGCCAGCCCTGATTGGGACACTCACTTGAGGGCCTTTGGCTCAAACTTTGACAAGGAGGAGACGCGCAGGCCGGCGTAGAAGTTGGAAGGATCCGTTTGGAGCGTATTGATCAGGTAATAGGATATAAAGGGGAACTCGGCTGGAGGAGAGAAATGTTAAACTTCGTAAGTTAATTTTTTTTTAAAGCCATCAACTCACAGCTCTTCTCCATGTTGGCCAAGAGCATGCCGCCAACGGCAGTATTGGCCTGCTGCACTTCAGTCAATAGCTCTGCGGCAATGGAGCGCTGTTTTAGCAGCGGATGGGCCAGCGGGGATTCCATTACCGGATCAATGGCCTCCAGGGGACTCATTAAATGGACCAGAATGCATAGCTTAGGATCAGAGACTTCTAGGACACTCAAAGGACTAGTAGCCTTTCCATCGGCGCTTAAAGCAGGCAGCTAATAAGGTTTTTTAAAATAAAATATCATGTATTATATTTTATATTTTTTAATTTTAATTATACTTACTGGTATCCCGGCTGGCAGGAAACGATCCACACTGTGCACCGGAATAATGAAGCAATCACGATCAAGGGTAGCCAGAGAAATGGGTTCAGCTCTCGTAACTCCCGAGTTGGCACTACTACCAAAGTTCACTGCAATTTACATTAAAAATTTGATTAATTTTGGAACAAAAGCAGAAACAATAATTGGCCATTCATTTTAAAACTTATAATATAACGTGTTAGCCTTGGCAAGCTGACGGTGATAATTACAACACTCCCATGATAATTTCTTTGAAAATAGGCAGCTAAAAGCCTTAGCCTCAAAATCCTTTGTGAGTTGAGATTAATAAAGGCCTTTGCTGCAGTTACAGGATGTTGGCTCCTTTTGAAAGCTTTAGTGCTGTAATTTAGTATTTTCCCTGCCCAAGGATTTAGCTGGCTGACTTTGAGATTTTTTATAGTTCTAAGTTGGTTTTTAGCGTAAAAATTTGTATTACCAATAATCAGAAAAGGAACTAGAAAAGGAAACGAGTAACTGCCAACAGCAACATAGAAGTAGAATTGTTAAAATCGAAAACTCTTGGAGGTTAGCTACAAACAACACAACGTGCAGGGGATAGAACAGGATATTATCGGGATTAGGAGGAGGATCTTGGAGGATGTGCAGTATACGCCATTAAGGGATGTATATCTTTTTTTAGTGTGGAAGGAGCTTTGAGTGTTCTAGTGTGTTTCTGTGTAAAAATGACATTAGTGTTGATCGATATTTGGGCAGCAACAACAACAACTATAGTTGAGATCGCATCTGATCGGATTCAGTTTCATAATCAGATGGGACTCTCGGGGTTGGGGGACTCAAACCTTGCCGCGTGGCTGCAGCCGCGGCCGCTAGCAATGTTGTTGTTGCCGTGGCCACCGTTGCATCAGCGTACCCCAGTGTTGCTGTTGTTGCTGTTGCCAATAGCTGCTGATGTTGCTGCTGTAGCTGTTGCTGCTGCTGTTGCTGCTGTTGCAGGCGGATCAAACTGTTACTAGCACTGTTGGATTCTGTACCCGGTCCGCTGCTGCCGTTGCTGTTCCATCGCATCAGGGAGAAGGAAGGTCGACGGTCGACCAGCGGCTGGGGCGAGTCCAGCTCGTAGGGCAGGTTGCCGGGCAGGGCCAGGGAGGGGGCGGTGCTCGACAGCGGGGTGCTCGGAATGCCTGACAGGGCGCTACATCGTTCTGCAATTGGAGGCTGTCGATACTTTATATGCACAACACACACACACACAAACAAACACGTGTACGCACGCACACACACGCAGCAAACAAAACAACAAATCAGAGGGCGTTGTTGGGGTGGAAGAAATAATGAATGTGCGAAAGAATTCTAAACAACAACAACGTTGTTGGTGTGTGGGGGTATTTTTTTGGATTAGGAGCTTAAGGTTTCTGGTTCTGAAAGGAAATGTTGATTTTTTAAGACTTTAAAAGCTTACAAACTTAAAGAGAGATACTTAAGTGGAAAAGATTAGAAAGACATTGAAATCTTCTGTATTTCTATTCTAAAAGAATCTATAATTGGGAAGGGATAATGGAAGGGATAACAATCGTAGTCGTTTAGTTTTAGTATTTAGTTTATATGGAAAAAAATCTCTTTAAAGAAGGTAAATGTTAATACTCTTATTCCCCTGATTACTTTAAATTACTGATTACTTTTAAGGATAACCATGAGCTCCCAAAGAAAAGGAAACTCCTTTCTTAAAACAAAGATTTCTAGACTAGACACATTCATCAGTTTTTTGGATTAGTGGGCTGTGCTGCATATGCCAATGATGCTGAAAGCTCTTTCGTCCTTCGAATCCGACTCAGTTTCAAGGCCATTGCCACAGGCGGTTGGGGATAGAAATATAGTTATATGGGAAATGAAATAGTAACTTACATACGTTTTGCCTTTTGGCTTTTTGTGTGAGTTTCGTGCCCTTTAAGCCAAGCCAACTGGAAATTGCTAGATTAGCTGACACTTACACACACCCACCCAAAAATGTCCTTTCTCACATATGTATGTACGCTCATAAAACTTAAAAGGCGGGAGTGTTGCACTATTATTTAATTTAAATCTCAGAAAAAGATGGAAAACGTAGGCGGCCCTTATCATTTTACCAAACATAAAAAACAAAATTAGGCACGCTAAATTAATAGTCATTTTAAGTCATTTTTCTAATTTAAGAATTCCATTTTCTTGGCATTCATTCTGACTTGCTTTGTTTTAAGATGATAAATAAGGCGCAGTATTATCAAGTGCCCGGGTAGCTCAGTCGGTAGAGCATTGGACTTTTAATCCAAGGGTCCAGGGTTCAAGTCCCTGCTCGGGCGAACTAAACTTTTGTTTTTTTTTTTTTAATTTTTTCTAACCCTACAATTATAACGTTTCCATTCTATTATTTATATCAGGCATTTATTTCTTTAAAACAAACTTTTATAAACTTTTTTCATACCCATAAATTAAACTCTAATTAGCCACTCGAATTCGGCTTTCAATTATAATGACACTACACCAGAATTAAGCTGTTGCTCTTCATAAATATTGATGCCTCAATTAAGGTAACCTTCCATTACCCCGCCATAGATGGGCCCACCTGTCAGCCGGCTGTTTGCGAAATTGATGAAAACATTTCTATTGAATGCCCTGCAAATGGCTGGAATGCAAATGTCAGGTTAATGGAGCACAAGTAACTGTAACTGAGAGCCAGGCCCAAGCGACTACAAAGGAATCAAAGTAATCAAGGGGGACAGAGCAGGATAGAGACAGGGGAGAAGAAAGACAGAGAAAGTGACAGAGAGAGAGAGAAAGTTGGGGATATAAGGTGTGCCATGTTTGTGGATGATTGAAATGGACGCTAGGCAAAAATGTCTAAAGTACACAATCGATAAAGTGAATTCAAAATGTGTTTTAGTGAAAAATAAGATTTAAAGGTTAATGTTTTGTTTCTAATTTATAAATTTTAATGTTAATATATGTATAAGGTTTTTTGGTTCACTATTTCGATTGAGTACTGTATTTGCTTTTGCTTTGTTGTTGCTGCTGCTGCTTGTGTTGCTGTTGTTGTTGCAAGGCTAACGACAATTTACCTTCGCCGACATCGTAACCGGGTCGGTTGGGTGAGAAGAACAGGTGAGTCCTGTAGTGGATCTCCTCTGGCTGCTGCACCAGTCCCATGTCCCGCGACCTCTTCGTCCTGTTCGCCTTCGATTGAAGCTTACCGCCTCCTCCGCCAGATTTGCTCGCCCCCTCGCGGAAATTCTTGCGAAACATTAAATTCATGGTGAGTTCGGTGGTACGAGGATGGGTGGCTTGTAGATGATTTTTTAGGTGGTGGTCTGTGGTGGTAGTGGTGGTGGTGGTGCTCTTGTTCTTGTTTTTCTAATTGTCGACCGTATCTGTGTGTGTACTTGTTTTAGGTATTTGTAATTGTGGGTGAGCTTAGTTTTTGATTGCCGTCTCTCTCTTTGTTATCAGATTTGGTAGCTTTATTTGAATAAATGTTTAATTTTTTATTCTCAGTCGACAGTTTTTGTTTGCTTTTGTTATTTGTGGAAAACAATTTTAATTTCTGTTTTAAAAGACCGGCAATTTATTTGCTTTTAGCGAGGTCACACTGCCAACAGTGGAGATAATGATAATTCTTTATTATATTCAGTCTTCCTATCGTTGATAGAGAGTTTCAGTTGGGTTTTTATACGCTAATTGTAAGGTCAAAGTTGATGTTTTTATGTCATTAGAGTTTATTTTACTAAATTTCTTGATCAATTTTTTATTACTTTTGAGAAAAGTATACACTTTAATGAACTTACTAACAGCTTTAAAGAATAAGTGTAGTTAAGTGTTAAGTGTAATTTATTTACAATTCCAGAGAAAATCCTGAACTATTCAAAAAATATTACCATTCTTCAAGTTCTTAAGTAATTCATAAATATAATAATTCACTATTCAAAAAATATTACCATTCTTCAAGTTATTAAGTAATTCATAAATATCTTGTAATTAATGATTATTTAATGTGATTAAAAAAGCTCATCTAGTACAACCATAATCATACTTCCTAGCTGCTTGACTTGGACAAGAAAAAAAATATGGCAGTACTAGCACCGGTACTTTCGGGGCCAAGTGCCATGCCCTAGAGTGTGCATGGGTGTGCGTGGAAGTGGGCGTGAGTGTGGTAACAGTGAGCGGAAATTGCCCGTTTCCGGCTCAAAATTACTTAGCTCAGCCACACCGAACCGAACAGGAGAGGGCTGAAGTCACTTACAGGATACGCGAACCCGAGCTCAAGTTCCTTTATGTGGCACGTGAGGACCAAAAAAAGCCAGGCAATTACAATCCTTTCGAGTGTGAGTGGGTATAGGATTCTATAGGCATGTATTTGTGCGAGTTTAATTAGTTCAAGACACGGCGCAATTAGTTTTATGGTTGCTTATTGATTGCCTTGGCGCGGTAAATTCCGGCAGCTGTCCGGCAGAAGAGTGGGCGAGATTTCTTATGCCAATTTAAAAGTGCTTACCAACAGCCTGGTGGCCCAATTAAAGCATTAAAAAGCAAAAAACCCGATAAAACATTTTGATAAATTCGGCAATGGAAATACATACGAAATTACGAAAGTATTTCCCAAACAGCTTGCCATAACTCTTTATTGGCAAATAAACTTTTAGCCAAATAGTCTTTAATTTTGTAAGCAGAATATTAAACCATTACCCAAGTCAATCATCAGCAATATGGCAGAATGCATTAGTTAAGCATAATTCCTTCAGCACTCGATTATTCTCATCAGATGGCTGGGCAGAACTGGCCTTTTTAGCCAGAGAGTCAATCACGCAGGCCATCAACTAAGGCGAGAACCAAGTCGAGTGGATCGTAAACGTTTTTACAGCACTTTCAAGTGGCTCGGGGGCGACAATAATTAATTTTTTTTACGAGCCCAGTTACAGCAATAATGATTATCATCAAATGGCCACCACAATGTCGCACACACACCGCACATCACAACAAATGCCGAACGAAACAATCAAGAAGCCAAGACCAGTGTAAGAGATAATAACCCAAAAAAAAAGAAGAGCAAAAATTTTCTTCGTTTTGTAGCCAAAAATAAACAAGCCAATGAAATAAAATTTTGCGTTCTCTGCTTTGCCAAAAATAAGAGAAAAAATAAAATAAAAACCAAAACAAGAAGAAGAGTCACGAAAATTATAAAATTAGATTTTCATCACGCAAAGGGGGTTGGTGCTGTGGGGGGCGAAGGGGCTCGTGCTGGGCTCGTTAGGCCAAAGGAATATTCGGCCCTTGACCTTGGTTGCACGCAAAAAAAAACAATTTCTATAATATTTTATATAATTATGAGTTCTATGTACATCATACATGCGCCGATTTAAGTGTGATCTTTTCTTCCAATTTACTTTGTGAAGGATAAGGGTACTGTGCAGAATAATGGATCTGAGGAGTATGACCGATACATACATATAGATACATGAGCCGGGTTTGAAGATAAGCAAGCTAAATGCTGAAAAAATAATTCGACTTTTTGTTCTTTTCAGTTTTTATATAAAATCTATACATAAATGTCGCTGTTCCACATATTTCTTAAAATTTTGTTGTCAAGCAAAAGCCACAAGAAAAACCTTGGAAAATCTGTGTTTAAAATGTTCCTTGTTAGGAAATACATCACTTTTTTTTATTTTTTATAAAAACAGGTTTGGTAAATTTAGATTTTTGCACATTTTCCGAAAATTACAAGTGCACTTCACCTCACAATGATTTTTGTGCTCTGAATGATTTTAGTCATTTTTCATTTCTTTCTAATGGCAAAATATTGTTTTGCATTTTTATTCGGCGGTCTTGGCGGTTTGACCAACTGGTTTGGACTGGTTTCAGGCGGGCAGAAACAAACCCAGGACGCAGGAGCCAAGTTCGTTCGAACGATTAGCGAATTTTTGTTTGCACGGAACACGGGACGTATGCGTAATATTCTTGCTCAGCCTGGTAGGCACACTAATTCATTTAATTTATCAAACATAGGTAGGCCAGAGGCACATGACACTTAAACGAATCTAATATATATGTATTTAATAATACACTATGTAGCAATGCGTCATCGAACACCAAAGGAGTCAATCAATAGAGCGATTGTTAGACCATTAATATTTTTTCCAATATTCACACGCTCACGCTCCACAAACGAATCGCTACCAGGGATATACTATATTATATGAGAAGCGTACGTTTGGCCTGTGACGGGCCAAGAATTCAACTGGCACTTGGAGAGCTTTTCCGCTTTTCCGTTTTTCCGCCGCCGACGCGACGGCGATGTCGCATCTCTCGTTTGCCGGTGAGCAGAATTTTCAATATTACCTTTCTATGCCACTACATGGACTTTAACTTTTAAAAATTAATAAACAAAAGCTCATCGTTCGTCGACCTCTTTTGTCACTTGTTGCGTATACGCCGTGTCTGCCGGACACTATTTTTTCGGTGATTAATCAAATATTTACTGCATTGTATTTCATTTCATTTCATTTCATGTGTGGCGAAAACACTTTAGCTTCCCATTTCCCGATGAAAGTTCCTTACAGTGCGACCAAACAATAGCAAGTGAAAATGAAATCGAAATTTATCCGGAGCGAGCTTGCTGGGACTGACTGGCAGTGAAGAAAAAAATAACATGAAACAAACAACAAATAAAACGCAACAGACAGAGTGGTTCTGTTTTTTATGGATTGCCCTGTAAACAGGATCTGTCAATGGGGTATATCAGGCCCGAAAACATGGCCCTTTAATGCAAAGAATGTTTTTAAATCGAAAGGTATCCAAATAATATTTAATTAAATTTTGTTTCCTAAAAATATATATGTTACAAGATCCTATACTTAATAGTCACTTTTGATTCCAAACCATACCAATTTATACATTTTTTTAGGTGTCCGTTTATAACTATGTTTCCTTGTTCGTTTTGTTTTTTTTTTGCGTTTGTTTATTTGTGCTGACTGCCAGGACGAACAGGGAAACATTTTTATTGATTATGTGCTGGCTCGGTTCTAGAAATTCCCGCTCCTGTCATCTACTTCCCTTTTAGCCCCGCAACGTGGAAAGTTTGACTTTGGCATCCGGAAGTCGTTCGCTTTTTTCCGTTCACTTTGCGGTTACCAACTAATTGCAAGTCTATAAAACCGGTCATTACTTAAGCCATGGCTAACATAAACGTCTCTTAAAATTGTTATGGTATTGATTAATTCTTCTTGAATAATTAATAGTATTTACAGTATGCAATGAGCTATAATATAAATTCAAACTTCTGAGATTAGAATAATCTTTGAATATTTCATGCTCAAGTATTCTTGGCTAATTCCGAGCAACAAAGGCAGGACATAAATTATTTGCATATATTTCTGCAGTTGGCCCAAATCCCCAGCTCCGGTGGTAGCCACATTTTGAAAAGCTTTCATTTTGGTGCCTCCGACTGGCAGGTCCTCCGGAGAGCAAAAGTGATTTACATGTGTTTGGGTCTGAGCTACCTATTCCTGACCCAGAGCTCACCGCAGATGTCATGAATACCGCCCAGGGATTAGCCCTGCCACAGGACCGAGTTGCATGTCACATTGTTGCATTTTTAGACTGCGGCAAGCAAACACGCAACTTCCCATTAGGAGCTTGAGAAAAACAAGGATAATTAGACACCAAATGGCATACGCTGATGCAGTGTATGGCATAATTTTTGTTCTGCTTATCAGAAACACGTTTGGATACCCTTGTAAAAGATTATATACAAAATATTCATCTATGATCCATCAATGTCTATATATTTTAAATTTAAAACCCGATCCTTAACCGAAGTACCATAAACGATTTGAAGTTCCATTCCCCTCCAATCTGCATCTTAAGCCACAAACAAAAATTTCGATCCCGATTTTTCAAATTTTTATGAGGGAACCCCTTAGGAAATCCAGGATTTCCATTTTGGCCCCAAACCAAGTCCATATCTTGGCCAATTTTCATCCGATCCTTGAGAGGAATACCTTAAACGATTTGTAGTTGGATTCTGCTCCAATCTGCATCAAAACCTCAAAACCAAAATTTCGATCCCTATTTTTCAAATTTTTATGAGAGACCCCCTTGTAAAGTCCGGGATTTCCATTTTGGCCCCAAACCAAGTCCATATCTTGGCCAATTTTCATCCGATCCTTGAGAGGAATACCTTAAACGATTTGTAGTTGGATTCTGCTCCAATCTGCATCAAAACCTCAAAACCAAAATTTCGATCCCGATTTTTCAAATTTTTATGAGGGGACCCCTTAGGAAATCCAGGATTTCCATTTTGGCCCCAAACCAAATCCATATCTTGGCCAATTTTCATCCGATCCTTGAGAGGAATACCTTAAACGATTTGTAGTTGGATTCTGCTCCAATCTGCATCAAAACCTCAAAACCAAAATTTTGATCCCGATTTTTCAAATTTTTATGAGGGGACCCCTTAGGAAATCTAGGATTTCCATTTTGGCCCCAAACCAAGTCCATATCTTGGCCAATTTTCATCCGATCCTTGAGAGGAATACCTTAAACGATTTGTAGTTGGATTCTGCTCTAATCTGCATCAAAACCTCAAAACCAAAATTTTGATCCCGATTTTTTAAATTTTTATGAGGGGACCCCTTAGGAAATCCAGGATTTCCATTTTGGCCCCGAACCAAGTCCATATCTTGGCCAATTTTCATCCGATCCTTGAGAGGAATACCTTAAACGATTTGTAGTTGGATTCTGCTCCAATCTGCATCAAAACCTCAAAACCAAAATTTTGATCCCGATTTTTCAAATTTTTATGAGGGGACCCCTTAGGAAATCCAGGATTTCCATTTTGGCCCCAAACCAAGTCCATATCTTGGCCAATTTTCATCCGATCCTTGAGAGGAATACCTTAAACGATTTGTAGTTGGATTCTGCTCCAATCTGCATCAAAACCTCAAAACCAAAATTTTGATCCCGATTTTTCAAATTTTTATGAGGGGACCCCTTAGGAAATCCAGGATTTCCATTTTGGCCCCAAACCAAGTCCATATCTTGGCCAATTTTTGATCCCGATTTTTCAAATTTTTATGAGGGGACCCTTTAGGAAATCCAGGATTTCCATTTTGGCCCCAAACCAAGTCCATATCTTGGCCAATTTTCATCCGATCCTTGAGAGGAATACCTTAAACGATTTGTAGTTGGATTCTGCTCCAATCTGCATCAAAACCTCAAAGCCAAAATTTTGATCCCGATTTTTCAAATTTTTATGAGTGGACCCCTTAGGAAATCCAGGATTTCCATTTTGGCCCCAAACCAAGTCCATATCTTGGCCAATTTTCATCCGATCCTTGAGAGGAATACCTTAAACGATTTGTAGTTGGATTCTGCTCCAATCTGCATCAAAACCTCAAAACCAAAATTTCGATCCCGATTTTTTAAATTTTTATGAGGGGACCCCTTAGGAAATCCAGGATTTCCATTTTGGCCCCGAACCAAGTCCATATCTTGGCCAATTTTCATCCGATCCTTGAGAGGAATACCTTAAACGATTTGTAGTTGGATTCTGCTCTAATCTGCATCAAAACCTCAAAACCAAAATTTGGATCCCGATTTTTCAAATTTTTATGAGGGGACCCCTTAGGAAATCCAGGATTTCCATTTTGGCCCCAAACCAAGTCCATATCTTGGCCAATTTTCATCCGATCCTTGAGAGGAATACCTTAAACGATTTGTAGTTGCATTCTGCTCCAATCTGCATCAAAACCTCAAAACCAAAATTTCGATCCCGATTTTTCAAATTTTTATGAGGGGACCCCTTAGGAAATCCAGGATTTCCATTTTGGCCCCAAACCAAGTCCATATCTTGGCCAATTTTCATCCGATCCTTGAGAGGAATACCTTAAACGATTTGTAGTTGGATTCTGCTCCAATCTGCATCAAAACCTCAAAACCAAAATTTTGATCCCGATTTTTCAAATTTTTATGAGGGGACCCCTTAGGAAATCCAGGATTTCCATTTTGGCCCCAAACCAAGTCCATATCTTGGCCAATTTTCATCCGATCCTTGAGAGGAATACCTTAAAAGATTTGTAGTTGGATTCTGCTCCAATCTGCATCAAAACCTCAAAACCAAAATTTTGATCCCGATTTTTCAAATTTTTATGAGGGGACCCCTTAGGAAATCCAGGATTTCCATTTTGGCCCCAAACCAAGTCCATATCTTGGCCAATTTTCATCCGATCCTTGAGAGGAATACCTTAAACGATTTGTAGTTGGATTCTGCTCCAATCTGCATCAAAACCTCAAAGCCAAAATTTTGATCCCGATTTTTCAAATTTTTATGAGGGGACCCTTTAGGAAATCCAGGATTTCCATTTTGGCCCCAAACCAAGTCCATATCTTGGCCAATTTTCATCCGATCCTTGAGAGGAATACCTTAAACGATTTGTAGTTGGATTCTGCTCCAATCTGCATCAAAACCTCAAAACCAAAATTTTGATCCCGATTTTTCAAATTTTTATGAGGGGACCCCTTAGGAAATCCAGGATTTCCATTTTGGCCCCAAACCAAGTCCATATCTTGGCCAATTTTCATCCGATCCTTGAGAGGAATACCTTAAAAGATTTGTAGTTGGATTCTGCTCCAATCTGCATCAAAACCTCAAAACCAAAATTTTGATCCCGATTTTTCAAATTTGTATGAGGGGACCCCTTAGGAAATCCAGGATTTCCATTTTGGCCCCAAAACCAAGTCCATATCTTGGCCAATTTTCATCCGATCCTTGAGAGGAATACCTTAAACGATTTGTAGTTGGATTCTGCTCCAATCTGCATCAAAACCTCAAAGCCAAAATTTTGATCCCGATTTTTCAAATTTTTATGAGGGGACCCCTTAGGAAATCCAGGATTTCCATTTTGGCCCCAAACCAAGTCCATATCTTGGCCAATTTTCATCCGATCCTTGAGAGGAATACCTTAAACGATTTGTAATTGGATTCTGCTCCAATCTGCATCAAAACCTCAAAACCAAAATTTCGATCCCGATTTTTCAAATTTTTATGAGGGGACCCCTTAGGAAATCCAGGATTTCCATTTTGGCCCCAAACCAAGTCCATATCTTGGCCAATTTTCATCCGATCCTTGAGAGGAATACCTTAAACGATTTGTAGTTGGATTCTGCTCCAATCTGCATCAAAACCTCAAAACCAAAATTTTGATCCCGATTTTTCAAATTT